CACGAAATGCGGGCAATACAAGCCAATACGGGGGGATCAGTGCCCCGGTGCAAAGGAAATAAAAAAACACCTTCTGGATTTTCCAAGTCCAGCGGGCCTGTCACTCGGGCGAAAACACGCTGTAATTACGGGCCCCGATGTAAGCTCACCCCCATACACGTTTCTTACCCGCCCCGTAATATCCCTCCTGACATCTCCACTCCTCTTTCCCCCCAGCCCATGACGATGGTCGCACTGAAACTGCTCTCCTCTTGACACTTCTTTGACCTCCCTCCACTGACTCCGATCATCGTGATCCTTCTCCTAAACTGACTCCCCGGACTGGAGGTCGGCCTGGCAATTCGTTCGGTCCCTTGCCAGCTCTCGCCCGACATCCTTGAACGAGACACTCTCTCATCCTTCTCTCTCGCTTCCCGATCGTTGGTTCCCCCTCTCCGCCTTTTCACTCTCACCGGATCCCAATCTTTGCGATTCCCCGCCTGTCGCAAGCCTGAGCAATACTCCTATACCCTTGTTTAGCGCCGAGCCTGACCCCCGAGCGTTGTGGGTGGCCGTCTTCCCAACCAAGCGAAGGCTGCGGCCGTCCCACCGGGCTGACACCGATCGCTTCCGCGCACGGCACCCCGGGATTCGGTCCCTGCGAGTTGAGCAATTCGAACGACTCCAATAGAGAACCTCGAGCATATACAACCGCTCACCATGGGCTCGTGTTTGAGCTCCGAGTCGACGGGGGATGCGGAACAGAAGAAGAGAAGCCAGATGATCGACCGGAGGCTCGAGGAAGATCAGCGACGGCTACGTAGGGAATGCAAGATCCTTCTGCTGGGTATGTGGCCTACTGCCGCGTCCATCCGTTGCGCATATGACCGGACCTTGAGTTAACACACGAATGGTAGGATCCGGCGAAAGTGGCAAGTCCACCATTGTCAAGCAGATGAAGATTATCCACCAAAATGGCTACACCGTGGAAGAGCTGGCTCTGTACCGGTTGACCGTGTACAAGAACCTCCTGGACTGTGCCAAAGCCCTCATCGACGCATACCACCATTTCTCCCTCGAACCGTCCAGCCCAAAGGTCAAGGACTATATCGCCCTCCTAGAAGAATACCATGTGGACCCAGACCCCAATACTCCGCTCGATGGGAAAATCGGCGACGCAGTCACTTACCTCTGGAATGACCCCTGCACATCAACAGTCTTGGAACGGCAAAACGAGTTCTATCTGATGGATTCTGCGCCCTAGTAAGCCCCCGGAAACTCGGTTCAAGCCGATCGCGAGAACTGCCGCTGACTAGGGATTAGTTTCTTCGATGAAGCCAAGCGAATAACAGCCCCGGATTACATCCCCAATGTGTCCGACGTCTTGCGAGCGCGTACCAAGACTACTGGTATATACGAGACGCGATTCACGATGGGCCAATTGAGTATACAGTATGCGCTTGGATACCTCTCAACCGCCCCTTTAGTGTGTGGGTTACTAACTGGCTTATGTAGCATGTTCGACGTCGGCGGCCAGCGCAGCGAGCGAAAGAAATGGATTCACTGCTTTGAAAACGTCACCTCGATCATTTTCTGCGTCGCATTGAGTGAATATGACCAGACACTCCTGGAAGAGAGCAATCAGGTAAGGCCAAGCTTTCAGCTCCACTACGCTATCCACCCCCAAACCTGACCATTTCCTTTAGAATCGAATGATGGAGAGTTTGGTTCTCTTCGACTCTGTGGTCAATTCTCGATGGTTCATGCGGACGAGTATTATTCTCTTCCTCAACAAGGTCGATTTGTTCCGCCAAAAGCTACCCCGATCTCCGTTGAGCAACTATTTCCCGGACTACTCGGGTGGCAATGACGTGAATCGCGCAGCCAAGTATCTTCTTTGGCGATTCAATCAGGTGAACAGAGCTCATCTGAATCTGTACCCTCAGTAAGTTTGCAGAAGACGTATTTGCCTACCGCCTTGGAGAATTTCTTCTGATCATTTTGTTTTACTCTAGTCTCACCCAAGCGACCGACACCACCAATATCCGACTCGTCTTTGCAGCAGTCAAAGAAACGATCTTGCAAAACGCATTGAAGGACTCTGGTATTCTATGAGCTGCTGGACACTCTTTCGAAAACCAACCCGAACCCCGCCACTATCCTCTCGCCTGCCTACCTCTCTACCCTCCTCATCACGATACCACTCGATTGCCTTCATCTATCTACTCAATTCCTCAATCTCGGCCTTGGAATACCTGAAATCCCAAACAGTCTGTTATGGACACTTCCTCTCATCTCTCACGATCTATCATACCTTTTTCTCGACTTCCCAAATACTCGATTCTTATTGCTGGACTAGCTACTGGCGTTTGCGGCGCTTCTGTTATCCCTCATTTGTGAATTATTTTCCCAGGCGCTTGTTAGGTGATACCCCGCCCTTTCTCGGTATCTACAAGGAGGTTCTTGGTTTTCATCCCTTGTCACCGTGGCACCTCTGCTGCGCTCTGGAATCGCAAGTAGCCTTATGACCGGGTTACCTGGTGGTTGTATATGGGTTTCTTTTTCTTCGCTGTGGCTTCAGCTCGAGGTCCAGCTTCAACCCGGGATGAAGAGTTACTCTCAACCTCAAAAGTCGCTGGGACTGTTCCTGCCCCGCCTGTTCTTTGCGAGGATTCCGCGCTTACTCTTAATCGTCACACTTTTGTTTCCTGTGGCTTCCAGCTTTTCCATATGTCATGAATGGGTTCTCGAACCCTGTGTTTTCCCAGTCTTCTTGTCTGATGCATATCACGGCGGATTTACCTTGTGTGTGATTTGATTCCTTGACCTCTCGATCTCCTGGTCATGTGTTGCTGTTAATGCTTCTGCTACTATCTTATTTCTTTGTGATACTTGCCCATTTTTTACCTTTGAACTCGCGACCTCAGCGCTTTCATGCATGTGATGCTTCCTTCTCTACACTATATCTATTACCCTCCCTCTCCCCTGTATTCTTCAAGGGTCTCTTTTTCAGCGGCAAGTTGATACAACTTCTTAATGGTCCTATGATAATTTTCCCGTTGCTCTTTTCCCTAGCATAGAACCATCGATTCTGGAGGTCTTCGTGATGTGATCTCTGGTATTGAGTCTGGGGTATTCAGCTGACACTCGCTTGAGTATCTTAGTTTTGAGGATATTGTCAAATCTGATGCCATATCATTGCATTCTTATCGCTTTCTTCTTATACTCGTAGTATACGGGTATACCAAGGCACAGACGCACATCTTGCCAGGATCAGGTCCACGCTATTAAGCCCCACCATATCTGGCAGTATGTCAGATGACTATCACCGACGAACTAGACGGCTAATGAAGTGCAATCCCCCTTTGAGTTTTCTGTTTCCATCGAGCCATCTCGTTGCGCTGTGGTGAGGGGAAGGAGGGGCATTGTGTTTATTGGCCTCTTGTTGTCGTCAGTGGCTGATCCTGCAGCTCGCTGCTGGTCTCTCCCCCGCGCCGTAAGCCGCAGGGCGGACCCGTCAGCGAGAGCCTTGCGGAGCTGTGAATAATGAGTGGGGGATTGGGTTTAGATAGATGGGGTTGGTTAGTTGGGAGTGTCTGGTCGAACTAGGAGCTAGATAGGAAGATAGTAGCTTGAGATTATGCTCATCCCTGAGGACATTGTACAAGTATAGTGGGTGAATATTGATCGTGGGAGTGATGTTCGGAGTGGAGTTTACGGTGGAGGCAACTCGGTGGTTCTAGCTGTGCGGATGTTTGGGTTGGGATTCATGCAGGGCAGGATGCGACGATAATATGGAGCGTTTAATGCCAGAATGATGATCAAGGCACTTCTTCGGATAGGTCCGTTCCATTCATCGATGGGAGGGTCCAATATTCAATAGGTGTCTTAAAAAGTGGATCATCCCATCGATCGAAGCGTCATCTACCGACCGGACGGAACTGATAGGATTGTAGAGAGCACACTGCTTCGGGGAAGACCGAGTGCACCATTATTATTCTCATCAAGGATCAAGATTATCGTATCTTGTGCTTTACCTTCTTTTACTGAGTTTTACTGCAAATCGATACTTGTCCTTGTTCGTGTCGCTGGAGAGCGAAGCAGGAAAATGTCGAGAGAACGGAGCCAATCACAGAGGAGAGCTGTACCGGTTGGGCTCGACGTGCACGGACGCCGTTGGCTCGGACAGTTGGATGGCTAATGAGGAGTAGTCCCTAGTAGTTGGTGAGATAGATTGGACAGTACGTACTCCGTAGTGACTGGTGATATCAGGTGAGGTCTAGTAGGAGTGGATTAATAGTGGGTACTGTAGGAGTTGAGATGGACCCCACCAGAGCTCCCCCAGCTTTGGGCTGATCCAACACCCAAGCCCAAGTCCATTCGATCATGAGTTTTGGTATAGGAGGCCACAATTCTCCCGTAATGAGGACATACTTTGCTGTAGATGATATACTAGCCCTTTTGTATGATCAGTCCCGGTGAACTAGATCCAGCTTGGATTTCCTCATAGTCTGATCAGAACGCATCCACTGATTAACTCATCATCCCCTCAATCCGGCGAGGACTCGCTCGGATACTGTCTCGACTGCTGCACTTCCCCAGCTGATGAACGGTGCAGCTTGCATTGCAGGAGGTGCTCGTGCTCTGCTGTCGTTGTCATTACTCGTGACTTGGTTGTCACTGGGTTCTGGCCCGTGGCCCTTCCCTTTCTTACCCTGGTCTTGCCCTCCCCCTCTTCTTCTTCTTCTTCTTCTTCTTCTGCTTCCTCTTCCTCTTCCTCTTCCCCACTTTACTCTCTCTGGTGTCACCACCACTCAAAACCACAAACCCCCCCACCCATCCTCGTCCTGAAAGATTCCCTCTTCCTCCTCCTTCTTCTCAATTCCCTTTTTTCTTTCATTTTTACACATCTACTCTGGAATTTCCAGCTTCCAGTCCGTTTCCATCAGCCCTGAAACCACCTGTCTACGATCATCTTCCCACTTCACCATTGCCCGCTGATCATCTGCTAATCATCGACCATGGCGTCGTCGGAGCCAACTGAACCCCGTCGTGAGCGCAGACCCTCCGTCGGATCTCCCATTGCCGACCTCCAGGGTCCCGTCGGTCCGGGTTTCAGTCGTCCCAAGCACAAGCGTACTTTTACCGGCTTCGGCCCGTCGGAGATCAAGAGTGTGGAGGCGAGCATTCCGGAACCGCTGCGTGAGGCGTGAGTTTGGGGAGCTTTCTATTTGTTTTTGCATACCTGGGGTGCTGGATGAGCTGACCAGATGTATCTGATGGCGTGACAGATGGCGGAAGCATGTACGTTGAGCTGAGTACCCGTTGGATGGAATTGGATTGACACAGGGTGCTTACTTGTGCTGTATAGTCGGCTACCAAGTTCACGACTAAACATGAGTTCGAGGTTGGTACTTTCCTTCGGACGAAGGCTGCTGGGATGATGAGCTAACGGCCTTTCGTAGAGAGAATTCGTGCGCCACATCGAGACAACCCTCGCCCGTTCTCTGTACAATTGCGATGAGCTGTATGTACACCGAGGCTCCAGGCAGATGACTCGTGGCAGTCGGCTTACCAGTGAGAATGCAGGGCGGCGTACTCCGGGGCTGCACTGGCGTTCCGAGACCGATTGATCATTGAGTGGAATCGGACACAGCAGCGCCAGACATTCTCCGATCAGAAGCGCGTCTACTGTAGGTCTGTCCCAGACCCCTCTGAACCACTCTTGTCTAATGCAAATATTCCAGACCTCTCACTTGAGTTTTTGATGGGTCGTGCCTTGGACAATGCAATGCTGAACGTGGGCATGAAAGACGTTGCGCGAGGTAGGTCATCTTTGAAAGTAAGGCACTATCTGTCATGACAGTTCACTGACTATTTTATAGATGGTTTGGCTGATCTTGGTTTCCGGATCGAGGACGCCATCAGCCAGGAGCATGATGCTGCACTTGGAAACGGTGGCCTTGGCCGTCTGGCAGCCTGCTTCTTGGACAGCATGGCAACGCTGAACTATCCTGCCTGGGGTTATGGACTGCGGTACCGTTATGGAATCTTCAAGCAAGAGATTGTCAATGGATACCAGATGGAGATCCCGGATTATTGGCTTGATAACAATCCGTGGGAGTTCCCTCGACACGATATTACGGTGGACATTCAGTTTTACGGCCATGTCACCAAGTACCAGGATGAAAATGGCAAGACTTGTCACTCTTGGGAAGCAGGAGAGACAGTTCAGGCCGTTGCATACGACGTTCCAATCCCTGGATACCACACAAAGACAACCAACAACCTCCGTTTGTGGTCCAGCAAGGCCAGCAGTGGCGAGTTTGACTTCCAGAAGTTCAACGCCGGCGATTACGAGAGCGCGGTGGCAGATCAACAGATTGCCGAGACCATCTCGGCAGTGCTGTATCCGAATGACAACTTGGAGCGAGGTAAGGAGCTTCGCCTCAAGCAGCAGTACTTCTGGTGCGCTGCCTCTCTCTACGACATTGTTCGACGCTTCAAGAAGACAAAGAGGGCCTGGAGCGAGTTCCCAGACCAAGTCGCAATCCAACTGAACGATACCCATCCCACGCTGGCCATTGTTGAGCTGCAGCGCATCTTGATTGACGTCGAGGGCCTGGAGTGGGATGAGGCTTGGAGCATTGTGACTGGTACTTTTGGTTATACCAACCATACTGTCCTTCCGGAGGCCTTGGAGAAGTGGTCGGTTCCCTTGATGCAGAACCTGCTTCCTCGCCACTTGCAAATCATCTACGATATAAACCTGTTCTTCCTGCAATCCGTGGAGAAGCGGTTCCCCAATGACCGGGATATGCTCTCGCGAGTCTCGATTATTGAAGAATCGCATCCGAAGATGGTGCGCATGGCCTACATTGCTATCATCGGGTCTCACAAGGTCAATGGTGTTGCTGAGCTGCATTCGGACCTTATCAAGACGACCATCTTCAAGGACTTTGTGACGATCTATGGGCCGGACCGGTTTACCAATGTCACCAATGGAATCACACCTCGGCGTTGGCTGCACCAGGCGAACCCGGAACTCTCTGCTCTGATTGCAGAGAAGCTAGGTGGTTATGACTTCCTGACTGACTTGACCCTGCTGGATAGACTAGAGGTTTTCGTGGACGACAAGAAGTTCCGACGGGAATGGGCAGACATCAAGGCTAAGAATAAGCTGCGGCTAGCCAGGCTCATTAAGGATGTGACTGGCTACTCCGTCAATCCCAATTCGCTGTTCGATGTTCAGGTGAAGCGAATCCACGAATACAAGCGTCAGCAATTGAACATCTTCGGAGTGATTCATCGGTACCTCAGCCTCAAGGCTATGACGCCTGAAGAGCGGAAGAAGGTGGTGCCGCGCGTGTCGATCTTTGGCGGCAAGGCTGCTCCTGGGTATTGGATGGCCAAGTCCATTATCTATCTCATCAACAGTGTGGCAGCTGTGGTGAACAAGGATGATGAGATTGGTGATCTCTTGAAGGTCATCTTCATCGAGGATTACAATGTCAGCAAGGCGGAGATTATTTGCCCGGCCTCTGATATCAGTGAGCATATCTCTACCGCTGGAACCGAAGCCAGTGGTACAAGTAACATGAAATTCGTGCTGAACGGAGGTTTGATCATTGGTACTTGTGATGGAGCTAACGTAAGTTGATGCATTTACTAAGTGGCTATTGAATTACCCGAGGCTAATTCCTTTCCAGATCGAAATTACTCGTGAGATTGGCGAGCAAAACATCTTCCTCTTCGGCAACCTCGCGGAAGATGTGGAGGACCTCCGCCATCGACACTTCTATGGCAGCTTCCAGCTGGACCCGCAATTGAAGCGTGTATTCGACGCTATCAAGGAGGGCACGTTTGGCGATCCCTCCTCGTTCACGTCCCTGATTTCTTCTATCGAAGAGCATGGTGACTATTATCTCGTCTCTGATGACTTCAACTCTTATATTGCCACTCATGACATGGTAGACCAGGAGTTCCAGAATCAGGAAGAATGGCTGGCCAAGTCGATCACTAGCGTTGCTCGCATGGGCTTTTTCTCCATGGATCGGGTGACTAACGAGTATGCGGACATTATCTGGAATATCGAGCCTCTTGATATCGCAGACGAGGCATGATATTTGTTCTGTGTTGTGAATTTTGGTACTTTTCGCTTTGAGGCTACGCTATACGTCATTTCTGTCTGTCGTATGTTATTTTGGATCCATGACCCGTTGGGATAATTCTTAACTGTTCTACTCCGTGATGTTAGTTGCACGTAGGATGCATTTTGAACTTGATTGTATTTTCATTTTGTAAGGACACGTCTATATGCACGCTGCAACATGTCTAAACTGGTCTTATCGACAAGCAAATTGCAGTCACTGAAACGACATGCCGAGATATGTAAATACTAGGACATGGAACCGCGTGAACTATCCCAACCCGGCACTTCGTCCCATGCCAGCATTAGAACGATAACACTAAAAATAATAGAGAAGGGATAAAAGAAGAACCGCCGGTATCTTGAGATGGAAAAGTTCATCACGCATCAGAGAAAAGAAAATAAAGAAGACCCCTGTCAACAAGCTCAAGCAGTTGCGGTCTCATCACGTTCCTGGATCGTCGCCTGGGGCTTGTAATCGGAAAACGTCTCTGGCCAAAGGAACATCTTCTCTTCCTTGGAGGGCGTAGCAACCGCCATCAAAGTGGGCACCTAAAACCAAAAAAAACCAACACCCAATTAGCAAGGCACGCCCCCTTCTTCCAATTCACTCTCGCATGATGGGAATAACATACCGCCTCCTTAGAAGAAATCCGCCTCCACATATTCGCACGCGGGTTATACCGCACCGGCCTCCCCACACCACCCGTCTTACTCGAATCCTCCACACTAATAGCCTCAATCTCCCTCTTAATATCAAGGAAACTATCAAAAGGCGTATACGCAATCCCATGCTCCAGGCAGTACTCCTCGAGCCTTAGACCGCGCCGCGCAAAGAGCACGTCTGCCTCGCGGGCGGCCGCGAGGTCGGAGACCCCGTCGCCGATGAAGATGATTAGCGGCATTTCGTCGGGGAGGCATTCGGATTGCGCTTTTGCGCGGGCTTCGTTGACGGAGAGTGCTTTGTCGTGGCCTAGTTCGGTGTCGTGGCGCCAGATGGGTTTCCATTCTGAGCCGTCCGGTTTGATTATGGCGTCGTTTGCGACGATGTCGATTGCGGCGGCCTGGTAGCATGTGTTAGTACATGTGTTTCTTTCTCTGACAAATAAAATGGATGAGGATTTTTGTAAAGACATACCTCCTTTTCGCCGAGGAATGTATCTAGGACCCTGCGCAAGACAGGTTTCAACCCGGCGCTGATGACGTTAAAGGGAAACCCGTTTTCAATGCAGTATTGGTGGAATTCGTGGAAGCCAGGGTCGATTTCCAGCGTCTTTTCCATGACCAGGAAGCCGTCGTCGAAGGGGACGTTTAGTGATCCCCACATCTCCTCGGAGACGTCCCGGAAGGATCGCTCGCCGGTTTTGATTTGTTCGTCGAGTTTGTTGCGGGCTTCTTCGCCGCAGCCGTAGTTGTCGAAGAGGATGTGGCCGGTGTCTTGCATGAAGATTGTGCCGTCGAAGTCTAGGAGGGGATTGTTAGTAAGAGTAACGAATGTGGTGAAATTGATAGGGAAGGTAAATATTTGAGTCGGGGATTGCATATTCAGGGTCCGGGGGTAAGGGTCTTGAGAATTGGGGTACGAGATAGTGCGCGAGGTAGGGCTTGCATTGGATTGGACTACATACCAGAGAAGATGATAATCTTTCTCTTGTGCGAGACGGGTGCAGGCGCGGAGGGTTTCATGTTGGAGTTGACCATGTTGGAATTGTGTGGTGAAGGGTTTCTTTCTTGCCTACCACAGAAAAAAGAGTTTCAATGCAAGAAAAGAAAAGGAGTAGATACAGTAGACTTATAAAAAATTCAGGGAAATCACGTTTGGTTCGACCATATAAAAAAGGGGACGCTATCGTGAATACTTGGCAACTCGTGGCAACGGCCATAACAGGATCAGCCAGGGTAATGACGTAGGGACAGAATACGATATCATAGTGGGGTGTGGACAATTGGGATAAGCACGGCAGCATGGCTGATGGCTGGCAACGACCCAAAAAAAACGTGCTCGGAAAAGGTTCACTCGGTGCCACTGCCGAGGATGAGCAAGTTGATTGGCTAACAGACTGTCTTAGTCAGAGATTTAGGCCCGGCCAGCCGAGGGGAACTGGGCAAGTCTGCGAAATTGGGATGCCGAAGCCGACGGTGGCGAGGGATTGGCTGCGCCGGACACAAACAGTGGGGCCATGCTCGTCATTGGGCCGAAGGGAAGTGTGGCTTTCGGCAACAAGAATATAATATGGCTTCGTGAAAGTTGACCTATCGAATATAGTGGTACATGGTAGAATCCTCTAGATCGCTGTCAACTCTGCAACTCGTCGCTCCAGTTCCGGCACGGCCCGCAGTTGCAGCTCAAGTTCATCCTTCTCACTGTAGTATTGTAGAATTGGGTTAGCATGGAGTCATTCAAAGATATTGATAAGAGGGGATTCCATACTCTTCCAGCTGCATCCGTCGCTCCCAATCGAGATCGGTGAAAACATAACCGCCCTGTCCGTCAAATTGCAGAATCTTCTTGTGATACTTCCATAGACTGCGGCGATGCGATACCGTCATCAAGGTGGTTCCCAGTTTCTTGGCCGTCTCGTACATGACCTTCTCAATCTCGAGCGTCACCGAGGAGGTACACTCGTCAAGAATGGCAAACTTGGGACGGTGGTAGAACAAGCGAGCCATCGCAATCCGCTGCTGCAGGCCGCCGGACAACACATCGCGCCATTCTTCCTCGGCGTCCCAGCCACCGGGCCGGTCGACGACTGAGGCGATCTCAACCACCGACAGGATCTCATGGAGATCAGCATCAGTCACTCCCTTGGCACGCATCTCGCGCACTCCATCAGGGTAAATGACTTGCTGCCGCAATGTCCCGCGAGACAGGTATGGCCGCTGAGGGATGTAAAAGATGTCCTCGAATCGAGGTTTCTTAACCGTGCCTCCGTAGACTGGCCACAGTCCTCCCAAAATGCGGAAGAGAGAAGACTTGCCGCATCCATTCGGCCCGACGATGAGAAGATGGTCGCCAGGATGAACGGTGAACGACAATTTGCGCACTAGAACATCGCCGTTTGGCGAGACGATTGGAACATCGGCGAATTCGATGGATTCGCTCTCCATGACCTCGCCGCGACCAGAAAGAACGGCTGCGTTCTCTTCGGTCGATGCTGAAGATACTAGTTTCTTCTCGAAACGCCCAGCGACCAAGTCATCCATGACCTCGAGCAGCGAGGAAACACGGGAGGTGTATCCGGCTAGCTCTGAGATCTCCTTGTAGGAAAACATTAGACGACCAAAGGCGTCGGAGGAGGACAGCAGCATCCGCCGGTTTGTAACGAAGCCTAATTCATATTAGCAGGTGTCATATGTCGCACAGGAAAGACGGGCAACTTACTTTCGGTCCGATCTCCCATGGTCTGAGTAACCTGACCAGGAATCTTGAAGAAGACGGGCAAACTGCAAAGACCCAAACCAAGCGCACCCCAGAAATACTTGATAACAAAGTCTTCCATGAATCCGTGATACAGACGTCGGCGCAAGATGCGATTCACATGCTTGATTAACGTGAAGTAACCTTTGTCCAGGGTATCTTTCTCGGCCTCATGGCCATGATACAGCGCGACTTCTTCGCTATAGTCGATGAGTCGCGAGTGGAGGAAACGGAATTCACCTTCAAGTCGAGCCTCGTCTGCGACGTATTTGCCGAATGGCGGCGTCAGCATGCGCATCACGTTTGCTGACAGCTGCACCAGCAAACTCATAATGAACAATCCTTCGCCTCCGACATTCTTGGACAGTGAGTAGTTGTAGATGCACATGTCTAGAATTGGTTTGGCGAGATTGGAGTAGAGTTCTGCCAGGCTATCGGAGAAGCGCGACACATCAACCGTGACTAGTTGATCGGGGTTCTTGATCCGATCATCTAGCGCGGAGATGGCATAGAAGGTCATATTTGATAGGTACTTGTCGTGTATATAGTCTGTCAATCGTTTCCGGTAGCTGAGGGAGAGCTTGCATTGGTGGTAGGATAGCTAGACACGGGGATGACAAGTCAGCGAAATTCTCACGGTCGCGCGTCGCAAAACCAGCCAACAGGAGGAAATGACCACTCTAGGATACTTACCATGGAGTTTGTAAATGTTGCGGGCACAGCTACAATCATCCACCATACAAGACCTAGCAAGAAGTCCTTGCCCTTTCCCCGCACCAGGCTGCTGACGAGTCGTCCGTCCAACTCGGCCACATACAAACTCAGCAGCGTCCGTAGCACGAGGAAGACGCTATGGCTCACCAGGAGCCGCAGCTCCTTACTTCGCCATCCCGGAATCACAATTTTCAAGAGCCGAAGTAGGTGTTTGAAGAACTCCCGGTTGATCTCCACGCGCTTCTTTCGCGGCTGTTCCTCGTCGCCGAGGGAGCTGGTGCCGGGCCGACGGTGCAGCTCTACGTGCTGCGAGGCAGCTTTCTGTTCGGAGATTGCATTGTGGATTCGCTTGGCAAGTGCTGCAAAGAGGGCGAGATAAACGGTGCGGGAGATGCCTGTTCGGTGTCGGAGGTAGAGGGAAGTGAGGCTGGAGAGGATCTGCTTGACGGAGCGGTCGGGCGGCAGCAGTTTCGACTGTACAGCCATGGCGACACGATCGACTAGTCAATCAGCCAGAGTCGGGGCTGTACATGACCACTTGGATGGCGGTAAAGAGTGTTGTAGTGGTCTATTTGTCGGAGGAAAGGAGGACGAAGAGGTGTGGTTGCGGTCTTGGAATGACGGAATGGGGGTCCTTGACATGTGATACCCCAGGTTCCTGGGGAAATTCAGCCGAGGAACAGACAAGGATCTTAGCCTCCACATCCACCATTTCAATGACTACACTTTGGCAGCCTCCATCTTCACGACAGGAATCATACTGGACTACAGAGCGATCGTCTAATATTTCCACTCTAAAGGTTCATTCTAGCTATGGTTTAGATTCAGTGCTCTCAGGTTGATCGCCTCGACTGTTCCAATTCTGGCGCGCCATGTATTCCTGCAACCTGGACAGGACACTGGCATTATTCCACAGCTCCTCGTTTAACTGAACACTTACTCGTGGGATCCCAACTTGCTCGAGTGCAAAAGATGCACCAACTGAGCCGTAGCAAGCCGCCTTGGTAACACTTCCTGTCTTGAGATATCCTACAGCATACGACCCGAGGAACGCATTTCCTGCTCCGGTGGGATCGACAATCTTCGAATTCGGCTCCTCTCCTGGCATCATGGTATAGAACGGGTCAAGCCATGTGGAAAGATTATTCCTATTGCTGATGAAACACCCATTCTCGCCAGCACGCACGATCACCGTGGCGTTACTGTCTGGACCGACTCCTCGATCCACACATTTGGACGCGAAGTCCTCAATCTTTTTCTTGTCGATCACATCTGAATGAGATTTCGAGAAAAGCTTGGCCAGTTCTAGATGGTTTGGAGAAAAGACGTCCACCGAGGCTGCAGCTTCGAGACATGCGTCGAGGTTTTCTGGTCGGCATAAAAGAGGAGCTGGTTCCCAAATTATCAAAGGCCGTTCATGAATGCCTGCCTCGGCTCTCAGAGCAAGAAGCTTGGATACTCGGGCCTTAAGATGCTCGGGGCCCGCGAGATAGTGAAAAGCCCTTGAAGCGAGAAAGGGTGTGTGCTTCAAGCTCTCCTCTTGGACTGTGATAACGGGTGTAGTATATTCGAAGTCCTTGGCTGGGCAAGAAATTAACATGAGGGAAATGAGGATGAGATTAGCTACTCACGCCCAAATGTAGTATCTTTATACTCCAGCAAACCTCTGGTTGATGGTCTGTCCACATCTTCTCTGATGAACAATGTTGTTCCCCAGCTTTCTAATTGTTCTTTCACTGCTCCCGGGAAATCGTTTCCCACTTTGATCATCCAGCCTAAGGCGGGACTGGATGGAGGAGGTAGAAACAATCGGGCACCGAGTGTTGCTATAGCTCTAGTCAGTCAATGATCTCTTATCCTAGACCAAGCCCAAGGAGCAGAAGCTCACCGTAAGTACCAGAGCCCCCCAGAATATCAGTCAATGGTGGCCGATTCGGACATCGGATTTCGTCGAGAACCACCGAGCCCAAGCTGGTGAAGGAGATGTTGAATTCTTGCATTGTGGGAAGGTCAGTCATATTGCCATCATAATTAACGGTCAAATGGCATCATTTATAGGGCATATTGGTACTTCAGCAATCAGAAGTCTTGAGACAAGTGAATTGGATTAGGATAATTGGAAGTCTAGCCTTAAAGTTGATGGTGGGGCACAACAAAATCCGCATCTCAGCCGGCGGTGAACTTGGCCTTGTCCATCCATTTCAACCTCTTTCCTGCTCGCAAAAACTCCGCAATTGCTCTCAGTGCGCAAACCGGAAATTCAACTTGCTGCTTCCTTGGTCTTTAGTGTTTCTGATATAATCGTTTTGTTCTTGTTCAGACATTGCATTCCAAATCTTGTCCCGCCTCCTATTTTGGAACACATAGTATGCTTTCGCCGCAAGAAATAGCACGATTGCTAGGATATTAATCGCTATTAGATCGGTATTTCCCCGTCTGTACTTTGGCTTATCATCATCTCTATAGATGAAGAAAGCAGCGGCATCTCCTGCTTGCACAGACATCTATAGGACAATTTCATTAGCATGTGATCACAGAGTGTTTTGGTCTGGAACACTTACGTTGTACAATGCAGCTGCCACCGAGCGATTTCCGACGTTATTTGCATTTCTGGATACCCATGCAACCACGATGGCTATTTTCATCATCAGTACTTCTCCTCTTGATCGGTTCTGACAGCTGGAACATACCATGGCAATATGGGTAGCTTAGCAAAACTGTCACCACTGCATACGTTCCCCAGGCATTCGAGATCACATCAGGCCAAAACCGGAGCGCAAGTAAACAAGGAAGCGTCCAGAGAGCTTGAAACATGGAAACAAGCGACCACTGGTTTAGTCGACTAGATATCCAGGTGATCAAAAGCAAATTGCCGATATGGAACACGTTCGCTGGGATCGTGAGTAGATTTGTGTTGAACTTGTTGAACCCAAGTGAGCGGAGAGTAAGCGTAATATAGGAGCTCGGAGGCGATTGTGGGATATATGCGACTACTCCGATGAAATAGATTGGCCACATATGGTAATCCTTAATTGCGTTCCAGAGTCTCTTAGGCGTCACAGCTTGGCGGTTATGCATGTCGCCCTTGGAAGGGTCGTCGCGGAGGACGCGATTAGCCACGATGGAAACTTCACGGTCAGTGAACCATCCATTGGGTCTGAACCAGGTCTTAGTTTGAACTACCGATGCTGGCATCATGAAGAACGATGCTAGACCGATGGAGAGGGTAATCAGTCCTTCGATAAGGAAGAGCCACCGCCATCCTGCCCAGCCGTGAACACCGCTGAGATGGAAGACGGCAAAAGCCAGCAGAGATGTCACAATCGTCGTCACAGAGAGTGAAGTCCAGAAAAAGCTAGCAAGCGTTAGTAGGTGCCAGGTTCCGGTGAGTTTGGATCTTACCTCAAACGAATTGGAAGCTCGCGGGAGGTATAGAAATAAGAAAGCCACAACACGATATCTGGAATGAAACCTCCCTGAGAGAAGATTAGCTACTTGGAAAGGATCTTAATCTCAATGAGTTATATTACCTCCAAGATACCCAACAAGCTGCGTGTGAGCAGGAATGTTTTTCTGTCGGTTATGGCGCATTGTGAGATAGCAACTACCGACCAGAGCACCATCTGAATAGGAATCCAACGATCTGGCCCGATCTTCTTTGATATCAACTGAGACGGTAGCTCTGCGACCAGAAATGAGACTCGGAAGACGATGTTACCGTAGTTATAGTCTAAAAATTGTAAGTATTGGCTAGCGAACCCATGGAACGATGGCAGTTGATGAAACCCATTCAGGTTTCAGCAGCACATCTAAACAGGAGGGTATTTGAACTGTCTGGCAACCCCGGTGATATGAAGATATTGACTTACCGTTTGTGGTCAGCTTTAGATCTGCTAGGAAGGTGTCGGAAACTGCCTGGACAAGGTTCCCTCGATCGACTTGAAGCGCAAAGAACATGACACACTAGCCAGAGTAATCAGTGAAAAATGATCAAGGAGAATTGTAGATACGAGGGTTACTGCGTACAGCCCACAAGCAAATCCTCCAATCCAGCTTGCGCACCAAGGCCCTTTCTTCTTCCTCCGACCATGTCAATGTAGGGTCGAAGACATCTCTGCATTCATATTGCGCTTTTTCGTATACACCGCGCCAGTACTCTGCGACTTCAGGGTCCAGAAAAGGGTTGATCTTTTCGGCAGTTTCACCATTCGGCTCTAGAGTGCCATAGTTCCTCGCACGTTCTTTTGGATAGGCCTCACTCAGAGTGACCACCGAGGAGGACTTTCCGTCTTGTTGAACCATCGCTTATCAACCTCGAGGAAATTGCCGGGTGGTAATCCTTGGTTTTTCTCTATGGTTGATGGTCTTACTTCTGAAGACATCGGCTGAGGGGAGAATTTGGCCATTTATATGTACTTTGCCCCATCGTAGCAACTCCGCGGGGTGAGATTTGGTAGTATGGCGATAGATGCAGGGCTTAAGATGTGCTGCATTTGACTTTGAATTAAGTTGTCCTGCTGGTTTCATCAGGGTCTTGCATTGCGTGCTCCGAAGCCCAATTAACAAATTCATCACCCCCGCACGATTGGCAGCTGGATTGCCGCGTGAGGGATCTTTGAATTATTTTTTCTTATTACGTTATTTTTGTTATTTTAGTTCTTAGATGTTGAGTCCATGTCGTCCATGTCTAGCATAGGCTTCGTGTTAATAATGATAACGATAGAACACTATTCAACTCAAGACAGTCTAGGGACGCTCACGAAAATATGTACACGCCAAGGAGCACAGGTAACAAACCATAATGTATATTATAGCAAGCTTTCTCAGCGGAAACCTTGGCCGATATGCAATTTAATGCCAAGTATGATGAGATGGACGATACAAATCGCAGCCTAAGATGACGCCATTAAATACTTATCTAGGCGCTTATCGCGTTGGCAGTGACAAGAGGTGGAATACTTGCAAAGTCTCGGTATGTTTTCAATGGACCTTGAACTGAATAGCTAATAATCTGGCGCTCGAGCGCGCTATGTGGTATCACGGGATACATTATCGTGCCTTGGACTCTAGGCTGACCAGGGCATGCGCTTTGGGCTGAGCTAGCCTAACACGTTCCTCCCCCAAACTCGTCTCCTCTGATCATGATCAGGAAGGCAGTGCAGTACTTGTGTGCTCTCTTGAGGGAGTTGAGATGTGTTCGTCCGTCGCTGGCCCTTGATGCGAGCAGTCCGGCCGAATAGCCGGACCAAAAGAACGCGACGGGCGGACGAAGGGCCTCATGGCCATGAATTAACGTATATTGTAAATTTGTATAAAAGGGAGTCCACCCACTAGGGATTAAGTGTAAGATTCAGCAATCGCCTTCAGATTGATTAATCTTGATCATGGCCTCCCGAATCGCAAACAAAAACATACTGCTAATTGGTGGTACATCGGGCATTGGCTTCGCGGTCGCCAAACAAGCTCTCGCAGACGGCGCAAATGTGACTATCACATCATCGTCCGAGGAAAGAGTGGCCCAAGCAGCTGAGAGCCTTCGTCATGGTAATCCGGCCAGAGCATCATCAGTAGTACGCAGCTACGTTGCCGATCTCTCCATCAAAGACAAACTAGACACAACCATCGAAGAGCTACTCAAATATGCCGCCGAAATCTCGCCAATTGACCACATTGTTTTCACCGCTGGCAACGTCCCTCCGATGGTACCACTGGCAGAAGCCTCTTTCAGCGATCTCGACGCGTATCTTACTGTTCGACTTTTTGGCGCAATGGCGGTCGGGAAATACGCGCCCAAGTACATGGTATCGAGCAAGAGCTCGTCGATTACTTTGACTACCGGGACCCAAAGCAAGAAGCCATCGATTTGGCTGGCACCAGCTGTCGCAGGATCGGTGGAAGGTCTGATGAAGGGCCTGGCTATCACGCTGGGGCCTATCCGCGTCAACGCCGTTTCGCCTGGATTCATTTTGACAGAATTGACGGATCGACTTCCTCGGGAAATGAAGGATGGTGCGATCGAAAAATATACCCGACAGTCTCTTACAAACGACATTGGCTATCCAGAAGATACGGCTGAAGCGTACTTGTATCTGATGAAGGACTATTTTGTGACCGGGTCAACTGTGGCTACGAATGGAGGGGCTTGGTTGGTTTGAAGTGTATTTGGTGGTTGATTTCTAGAAAAATATATGAAAGAAAATATATGTACGTACCTACACCTCAATGGCCTTCATAAATGCTGGACTTTCGTGACCTTCAACTACCTTCGCAATTGGAGTAAGGTATGCCTCGGAGTCCTCTTGGCTTGCTTGAAGTCGACGGACATAATATTGGGCAACTTTGAGCCAGTGCGCCTTTTCGCGCTCACTGGCGCCGAGGCCCTGCCAGACCCAAAGTCTGTTGCCAACGTCATAAAGGAAGACGTCGTTGCCGTCAAAGTCCGACTGGTTGATCCGACCGCCATCCTTCACAAGATCAAAAGACAATTGGCCAGAGGCATCGCTGAGACGGAACAGTTTACGAGGGAGAGCACTGGTATCAACCCCAACGGATCTCTTCGCGAATGACCCAGGTCGAGGCGCTTGGAATGTATGTTGCTGCACCTCCTTGCCTCCCAGTAGATCGACAATGATCTTCGATCGGGATTCCAGTTGCGAGAGAACTTCCACGTCAATGTGCTTTGCTAGAGTCACGTCATTCACCACCTGCGCTGCCTTGGCTTTTTCCATTGGACTGCAGCTCTTGCCCTGCCAGACCCAGATCTTTTCACCCTTGTCCAGAACAAAGACGTCCTTCTCGTCAAGACTCTGCCATGTAGGTTCCACCTCGTGTACAATAATCGTACGGCCACCACCGGGGTCCTTGAAGATGCGGAGAAGAGTGAGAATCTCCTTCGGCCCTTCTGGCTCGACATGGGTAAACCCAGAACGCACACCACCGGACCGGATCTGGTAGTGACGGAATAGGGATAGAAATTCGTCGGAAGGCTGCGCTTGTGTCTCGCGATGTTGAGTGGCAGCGCCGTGTAAGAACTCATCTAGCTCGACTGTCTTGTAGGCAGCAGTCCCGGCCTCATCCTGTGTAGTCTTACTGCCTAGCCAGAAGAATATACCATGGGCTAATCTCTCCTCACCCTGTTGCTTTCCGACCTTGTATGAGTGCAGCACGATAAAGCTGTCCCCGTCGTAGAATTCGCCATATCGCTCCTTCGGCCAAGGGATAACTTCGAAGTTTTCAATGCGCCAGATGAAGAATCCCGCTTCTTGGCCGATCTGTCCATTGTTCCACGCGGGTTCGGTCGCGCCGGAATTGTACTTGACACGATGGTCGAGATCGGATCCAATGAGCTCCACATTGCTGTCTTTGATGTCGTATTCTTTCAGGTGGACCATGCCTTCATGGGGCGCCATTTCGATATCGGGTGGGCCAGAGACCGTTTTGGAGAGAGAGGCAGGAAGGGATGAGGGATCGGGAGGATTGAGGAAATTGATTGTAGGTCGTGGGTTGAACAAAGCTGAAGAAGCTGAAGAAGCTGAAGGAGCTGACGGGTTGTGCCCTCCAGTTACGTCGGTGGAGTGGGGCAGGAAGGGGGCTGGCTACGAGGGCGGGGCATCTGGTGGGCAGCCACAGCAGCCAATGTGGTTGGTCAGTCTCCGTGGCACTGATTTATTTTTGGATTGGACTGGTTAGAAGGGAGGATAGCTGCTGGAAGGGCGCTGCAGCCAAACCAGATATATACTCTTTCGATGCCGCTATCGCTATAGGAGAGAATGATTGCTTGAGCTATTAGACTATATATCGAGTACATTGATTGTACGCCTATTACACCCAACTGAAATTCATGTACAGGATTTGTGAGTTTGGGAATGAGTTTATGAAGGAGAGTAGGAATGCGAACCTTGGCCTCCCTACGGGGTACCTCTCGCTATTCGTTTGAGGATCGACAAAAACGGTAGTTACTCCTATTTAACTCTCTAATCCTGAATAAAATCTTTCATATCCTTCATATCCTTCATAAATACTTACTTCTCATGACATCCAAGACCGCTAGCAGAACGCAACTATGTACTCGTGGTAGGTTGAATAGGAAATCGCTGACTGGCCCCATTCAGGCCACTGGCTTGTTGCATAAACACGAGACTACTCGGATAATCTCCCATAAATCAAGGGCTCATCATTGAGAAAATAGACTGGTTCTGTGTCATAATGCTGGCACATTTCAAGGGCAATTGAACATTTTAATCCGTCGTGGAAATTGAGGGTACTCCCATTCCACTTTCATCCGTACCACAAAGTTGGGCGAGTTAAATGGGGCTTTTGACAGTTTGGCTGAAATGACCTGGCCCTCTCCAGTTATCAAGAAAACGCGAGGAAAGATAAGGTTAGATTAGTCCAATAGAATACTATACATCAGAGCAAGAATCCATCATGGAAACGGCAATTGGTCAATGTGGTTGACGAGTTTGTTATGTCTATTTCAATGCCCGTTGTGAGCCAGGTTGATGAGCCGAGTCAACCCCACAATGTTTTATAGTTTTTATCAACCCTAAACGTATAACCAGTCATGATAAAAGCGCGAGATAGGAGAGACCCTATGTCTTAAAAGAAGCCCAATACCTCCCCATTTCTCTACTCAAAAGTGAACCTCAAGCGAATCAGAAGAAGGGAGCTCAAGAAACCAGGCACTTCAGACCTTCCCGACAATAAAGACGATGTAAAATCGACCGAAGAAACCGAGGTCCGCGAGGTTGGATATGGTCAGTTGTACCGGACTCTTTCTCGAAGACACCTTGTACGTGACTCGGTCCATACAAAAATTGGTAGCCATTAATGGGAATGCAAATCTTTCTGAATTCATAGGTCATGATGGCTATTGGCGGTGCTATAGGACCGGGATACTTCATGGGAATGGGAACTGGCCTTTCGACTGCAGGCCCCGCCGGTCTTCTTATCTGCTTTTCAATCGTTGGTCTTCCACTTTGGTTTGTAATTCGGTCACTTGGTGAACTGGGATCTTTTATTGCCGTCTCTGGATCCTTCACCCACTATTCTGCCAGATTCATTGATCCAGCCTTGGGATTCGCTCTGGTGGAACTATTTCCTTCTATGGGCTGGTATCATCATGGCCGGGTACAGTGTGTATCAATTCTAGAATATGATTGTAGCTTCGACATGCTGATACTAGGATTCCAACATAACCTTGGGCTGGTTCTAACCTACTGGGAACTGACCTGCCTCCGTGGTGATAGGTGCTGGTATTCTGGTAAGTTATTCCCATGAGATGTCACCATCACGTCACTGAGGATGGTTGCCCTTAGGGTTGTGTTCATGTCATTTGCTTTTCTTGGAGTTTGGGCATTTGGCGAAGGAGAGTTCTGGCTAGCACTCGTCAAGGTCATCGCTATTCTAGCCTTCTTCCTTTGTTCAATCCTAATCTCTACTGGTGTCATCGGAGGCCAAAATATTGGATTTAAGTATTATCATGATCCAGGACCCTTTGCAGATGGAGTGAAGGGTGTATTCGAGATCTTCGTGTTTGCGGGTCTTCGGTACAGTGGAACTGAGATGATCGGTCTTACGGCTGGAGAGTCGCGCAATCCAAGCAAAGATATCCTCAAGGCTGTTAAGGATATCGTCTGGAGAATTGTGATCCTCTTCCTGGGAGGTATTTTCTTCCTCGCAATTACAGTTCCCTGGAATGACGAGAGGCTCTTAGGGAGGGCCACTAAGAAGAGTGCAAGTTCTCCGTTCGTTATTGATTTCAACCGCGTTGGAGTTACAGCTGGCAGTCATGCAGTTAACACTGTTATCCTTGTCACGATTTCTCGGCCGTGAATAGTGCGGTCTATGTTGGATCGCGAACGCTGTATGGGTTGGCGAAAGAAGGTGCGGCACCCAAAGTGTTCTTGTAAGCACTGAAGAACGGTTCTCGAATTGTGGCCTTGGTTGCATTCCATGTTCTTGGATTTCTATCACTTCTCAATCTTTCATCTGGTGCGGGCTTGGCATATTAACCTTCTCTCCAATTGAAACCAACACGGAAGCACCGCTTCTCCCACTCCACAAGACAAACCTTGACAGTGAATGAGGCACCTTCGGGCTGAATCACATGGTAGGGCTTCGTGGTAGTCCTAGAGGTTCTTTTGCAGGCGATGATCGTATTCAGGCTCGACAGGATTGGTGCGTCGGTGCGGCACTTGAGAGCCGATAGCAGTAGAGGACTGATCCGACCCAAGAGGCAACGAATGATCTTTTCGAACCCCATCTTGCACAGGTCCACAATGACCATGACGTCGACTGGGGAGCTGTAATGGTTGGAATCCGGGCTATTGTTCTCGGGGTTGCGCATGTACATGAACACCTGGAGAGATGTATGTTAGGAGCTTGGAACTCGAAGTAGATAGAATAATGGGTAGGAAATAAAAGAATGTGATTTAAATTTACCTGAGTGTACGCGTTCTAGGGCGACTAGACAAAGGCACAGTACTATGCGAGAGGCTTAGCGCTGTACTTCTTCACCAAAGCCTTTGACGTGTCAGCTCATTTCTGATCGGAAGGGGTAGAACGCTGACTTAGAATTGAATCGTCAATGCCAAAGGAATTCGTTCAGCACCTCACTCAGGTAAACCAATAATCCCTAATACGAGTAGTAAATGCGTTATCAACAGGGAATTCTTTGAGTGGACCCCAGATAAGGTTGTGGCCAATAACTGGGTAACTGGGCCGTTCTTGTCGAGTCGCTAAGAGATTTTGATCACTTCATAACAAGAGTCTACTCTTGAAGTTGGTCTTGATCGTATAGAACAATATACCAGAACTGGCTGCATTATCAAGGCAATATTACGGTGTAAGTTGACATTCATCTCTCGTGTATCCTAGCTAGCAGCAGTTAAATCATGGTAAACATTATTTTGTACATACTCGATGCAGAGCACAACGGTCGATCTCCGCCCTTTATTCCTCCTCAGGTGTTCCTGATCTGGTACATTGAATACACACCTCGCCTGTTTGAGGGCATTGTCGACCTCAGCACCAACAACCGTGTCCATCATGTTGAGCTGCCTCGAGATTTCCATGGCCCAGTTGATCGTGCTGAGATAAATGAGGCAGCACAGGTAGTTAGAAGTTTCAGAGCATTACTTTGCATAAGCAGTTCTGTAATTCAGAGCGAGTCTAGACGTTTCCCGAAGTCATCTCTAGATACTGTCTCCGCTATCTACTATGAATAAACACGTAAAGCTCAATCATTCCTAGACCGGCTTTGAGATCACCGGTTAAAAGAATTCATAGACCGTTCTAGACAGACAATTCATTAGATGTTCGAGGCCTTAGCAAGGTCTTCACCGATAGAATTTTCACGGGTAGTATCTGATCGGAGTTGCAATGAGATCTAGATCTCGGATGCGAAATCGATATATGGGACCGTAATCAAACGGTTCCCAACTCTCGATCCTTGGTTTGGCGGGATCTTAACCGGTCCTCCATTGTCATCAGAGAACCACACTTGCAATGTCCTTCGAGGCCTTGAAGTAGACTCGGTCAAGGGTCTTGAGGGTCTCTGTAAAAGCCGGGCGATCAGGGACGCGGCGGGGCTTGTAGAAGTCGTCGTCACGTAACCAGACTACAGGCACAGGGTCAAAAATGATCTGGACTCGTCTGGAGTCTCTGGACCGTAGGTCAACATTGGGATGGTGTGCGCAAGATGCGTTTCAGCGTAGCCATGGAATGTAGCTAGAATGATTCCATATTTCTTTGACGGGTTCTCGGACTAATTGATCCTTGGTAAATATCATTATTAATAGCGCGAATATTCCAAAGTATGGCTAGTTGATACTCCCGCTATGATTCGCACATGGCAGACGGGAAACTTGACGATTGGAAAGTGGAGGGAACTGCGTGCCGAAGCCCTACACGGGATCCACCAGAACCAGCTTAGGATTTCCATGATGCCGAGTTCGGCACCCGTTCAGGAAGGAGTCCTCCACGCCGGAGCCAATAATTGTTCTTGTTGTGCAGTCACGAGTGTTCTGGAAGGAATGGGGATGGAGCCAAACCCCAGCTTGAATCTTCAAGGTCTCTAAGCGGCTGTTAGAGTGCTGATGATCGCCTCAATTATTGATGCCGGACTGGTGCTACAGGGCCTCATTGCCTCGTGGGCGGCGGATCTATTTTTACAATGATGAAGACGGAAAAGATGCAGAGATGATGTTGTACGGACATAGAATGAATGGAACACGGTATAGCAAAGCACATGTGGCATCGAGGCGCAGACAAAAAACCTTCTGGCTCAGCCTCAGCTTCACACGAGGTCAAACACAAAACGCATAATCAACTCGCCTGGCTCGTCTCAGCCCTAGGTGATCTTTGCTAGAAAAGGGGTCAACCCCGGCTGGTCTCGTTCGTCTGAGAACAAAGTTTCTCGGTCCGTGATCCACTCCTTGAGTCCAGGCACACGCGGCTATAATTTAACCCGGTCCGCCAAAACAGAGGACCAGCTATCCCGCCGACGTTGAAGTTCGAATTCTCCAAGCAGCGCGATTGAGTTTGTCCTTGCCACCACTAAATCCTTGAGTCACGACTCACTAGCACGGAGGACAAAGGATGGAGTTGCGAGAATCAATAAATCCGCAAGGCGTAGTGAAAGAGGGTCGTAAACCCGAAGAAGCGAAGGAAGGAGACTCGGCTTTGCAATTAAACTCGGCTGGGCTAGCCAGATATGGTATAGCTCTGACATCACGTGAAACGGAAGTCGGCCGGCGCCAAAAAAAAGACGATCGCAAAATGGTGAAGAAGGCTATTTTTCGGACTACAGTTTCCGGCTGAGATGAATTGATGCGATAGCGAAGTTAGGGATCTTCCTCGTTCTCAAGCCAGAAAAACTTTATTTCTAGTCTTTGCCTCGTCTACGTCCACTTTGCTGAGACGATGGCTGAGGCGATCCGATACGACTAATCTTCCGCGGTTTTGCCGAGCAGGAGATTCTAGCCCTCCCTTCGATTTACTCGGACTTGGGAGGCTCGACGCCCAGCGCCTCAGCCTCGTTCCATGGATAGGTCTTTTTGTTTCGCATCTAATCCGATCGTGGTGCGTATTGTTGACTCGTTATCATGATGCAATGGAGGATAGAAGCCGAGGCTGGCTTGGATGATCAGTGACCGAAGTTTGTGCACAACCTCAGTTATCCGAAGCTTTTCTGAGGGAGTCTTTCACTCTATCACTAGCGGCCTATCAGCCGTGTTGATCGGGCCAAGTGGACTTTTACGGCTGGTGGCCACCATTCAACGCGCTGGATGCAGCCCCGTTGGCCTCTAGTGCTGAGATAGCCTAGTTTGGCGTCGAATTCGTCTGTTTAGTCTGGCTGAAGATCGGGGTCCTAGCAAGTAACCTTTGTAAGTACGTCTAGTACCGCTCTTGTGTACGACGATTCTAGCAGTCCTGATACCCGATCAAAAATGATGTTCATGGCGGGTTCTGCATTCCTCTGCCAGACCCCCGCTGTCAACGAGGAATGCCTCTTGGCTAAATGCGGTAATCCAGAACATGTAGGCGACAAACAGACACAGCCACCCGCGTCATGTACTGACTTCGTCAAGGTGGTGGAACGAACCATACGATGGGTTCTCTAATAATAAAAAATGCATGATAATCTTGGAAATTCGCTGCTGGTTAGACCAACCAAAGTGAATGGTTCCTGCACTGGAGGCCCCCACTTGCCAATTATAGTTAGAGATTCGGTCACGTACAATACGGAAAAGTTACCTGTGCAATCAGATATCAATAGTTCAATAATTCAATAGTTCAAAAGGATATGCCTACAATAGATACTGGATAGAAACAGAAGCGGATTTCGAATCTGAAACTATACTACTGAACATACTATAACCATTCTATACATTCAAAGATCAATAATGGACGACTCTACAGGGGAGGGAAAGGATACCGGAGTAAACAACAACCGTTTCAGAACGGGTGGCAACTGAGCCAATCACTGGCGCGGAGCAGACAGCCCCGCTGAGTCAGCCTGGAGGACGCGCAAGCCTTTCTGGCTTGTTCGGCCCTTTGGGGCCTTTTGGGGGGGGCCCTTTTGGCTCTCCTCTCCTGATTTCCACTTTATCTCATCCCCTCCTCCCCTTCTCCATCCAAGGCCCAATATTCAAACCCGAACTTTTGATCGATTTGATTCCCTCCCATCTAGAACCACACTCGCTGTCCTCTCGCTTCTTTTCATCCACCCCCCTATTCTTATATAACCTGCCCCCTCCCAATATCCGATACTGAAAGGGGTCAGGGACCAACACCTACACATCATGGCCACTCTCGCAGAACACCCTATGCACGCCACGGCCTCACCGATGCAGATGAACACTTACGACCAAGACCTCGACTCCTTTATCAACTTCGATCAACTCGCCTACACTTCCGCCGAAGCCGCCCGCCCCAAGGTCGCGCTTGCCAGCCAGCCGTCCGTCGCCGGCACCGAATACAGCGCCAGTGATATGCGCAGCACCAGCTTCGCTTCCAGTGGACAATCACCTCTCGCCTTTCCCGCCCCTAGCCACCACTACGAAGAGCACCGCCAGCAGACCGGTCTGCCTCCCGGTGCCTTGTCCATGACCTACAACCAGGTTCCCCAGATGAACTTTACCAACGGCCAGGGTTACCCGATGAATGGAGATGTCTTTGCTGGACAAATGAAGCGCGAAGACACCACCTTTGATTTCAACACTGCTCCGACTCGCAACCCATCCGACATGGACCTTGAGTCGGACGGTGTGAACAACGCCCCATACATCTTCCAGGCTGGCGCTGGCAAGAACCAATATGTCGACCCCAACGCGCTCGGCGGCCATGAGCTGGCTCAGGCCGGTCCGTCCACCCAGGTCGGCCGCATGTACCCTGGCATGCATCAGCAGCAGGCTGCAATGGCCAAGGCCCAGCAACAGAAGCAGGATATGCTTCGTCAGCAACAGATGCAACAGCGTCGTGTGGAGGAGGTTCCTAATGCTGCCGCTACCCGAGGCACGCGTCAACCCGATCCCGTTGTCGAAGAGCGTATCTCACGCCTGCTCCAGCAGATGCGTGCAAATGCCGTTGCCTCGGGTGAGGCCTCGCCCACGCCTTCCTCGGTCCTACCGCACATGGCCAAGGCCAAGAAGGACGAGGCTGACATGGATGAGGATGAGCGTCTTCTTGCTAGTGAGGAGGGCAAGAAGCTCAGCAGCAAGGAGCGTCGCCAACTACGGAACAAGGTGTCTGCTCGTGCTTTCCGCTCCCGTCGCAAGGGTATGAATCAGTCAACCTAGATTCGAATATGAGATTCCCGTTAGCTAACCATCGTCTTCCCGCAGAGTATATTGGTCAACTCGAGACTGAGATCGCATCCCGCACTAACGAGACTCACGAGCTGCGCCTTGAAAACCGTGCTCTCTACGAGGAGAATGCCCGCCTTAACGACTTGGCACGCATGCTTCTGGGCTCTCCCCACTTCGCCAACTTCCTGAACGACATGCCCGACACCCTCCCATCTCAGATGTCCGCTCCTCAGCAGCCTCAGCAGCAAATCCAGCACCAGCAGGCCGCTCCCCATCCTACCGTGCCGGCCGCCATTCCCAAAGAGGCCAGCGCTCCTCGCCCTCAGGAGTTCCACATGCAGCAGAACCCCCAGGTCAACATGGCTATGGTTCCCAACCCCAGCATGGACGCCTCCATGATGACCAGCAACGGTTGGAACTCGGGTATCGACATGAACTACGGCAACGCTTCCGTCTTCGCAGTCCTTGAGGTTCCCGCAGGCCCCGAGCTCGACATTGAGGCTCTGTGTGGCAAGTCGTCCACCCCCCTGTCGAGCGAGAAGAATGAGGCCCCCGTTCTTGACCTGCCTGAGATTCCCGACCTGGATGCCCTGACTCGGAAGTCTGATGTCAGCTTCCCTGCTAACACTGAGTCGGACCTCTTCGCTGAGTCTCCTGCCACTTTCACCCCCGCTGATGACGCACTTGTCTTTGACGGCATCCCGACCGAGAAGGCCTCCTCCAGCTACGAGCTGGCCGTGGAGAACCCCAACGAGGTCACTGCCGCCGACAAGAACCGTTTGAGATTGCTCTGCCAGAGCATGCATGCCGCCTTTGAGCGGGTGTCCTTAGCCACTTCGCACCTCCAGTGATTCCCCATTTAGCGTCCTACCTTTCTGGTCCCATTTTTCTTTGTATATCTGTCTATTCATGTACTAGCATCACCCGTTCCTCTTTTGTGTTTCTTCTCTTACATGTCTGGGTGATACATCTACGCCGAACTGTCTAGCTACATCTTGCGAGTGATCGGGCTGGAGTTCTCAGATGTCCCCTCGGGAGTTTTACGGCGCTCTTTCATTCGTTTCTCATGTATCTACCGGGCTGGGCTATGGGCTTTTTGGGTGGAAATTTTGGTAGCGATTACTCTGTTCCTATGATGGAACAGCGAAATAAGATCTGAAAATTGATTATAACTACTCTCTCATTTCTGTTTCTCAATTTCTCGTAAACTATACCCCAGCCACGTAAATTAAAATTGATAATAGATCTCAAGTTCAGTCGTGTTGCTCAACCCAACTCTGATTCTGCGATGGTTGACTCAGGCGGGCGTGACGCAGCCCGGATCTCCACACCTCAAAAAAAGTTCGGTTCGGTAGCTTCGCTCCGCATCATGTTCTCTCCTTCGTCCCGCCTTCTCATACGGTGAATCTATGCTGATTTCTTCCTTATTGTCTCTATTCCCCAGCCAAATTGGCTTCCCTCAGTGCCCGCGGTAACCTCTTTGCCGCGGTTTCTCGCGCTGTCGCCTCGCGCGCGTTTCCTCGAACTTCAGTCTCAACGACCGTTCTTTTCACAGCTGGATTTCGCAGGACCAGCATCGATCGACAGCCCTTGAAATCTCCGCGCCCATCGTCAGCCTCGGCACACCTTTTCAAACCCCAAGGATCGTCTTTCAAACGCTCCAAGGCCCGCATTCGAAAGCGTCCCACGGAGGAGCCCCCAAACCCGCATATCGACTCAGACACGTGCCTCCTTCCGTATACTCCGCAATCTGGAGTGACTGACGAGAGATACGTGATTTGCGATCCCTCGAACCTTGAGAACCCCGATACCAAAAACGTTCGGCTCGACTTGAGCGGTATACCCCCGATGAAGGCGTGGTTTGAGATTATCACGACCCCGACGGCCGATACCCCCGGCACGGTCGTCGGCCTACACTTTCCCGACAAGCGTTACCTGTTCGGTCAACTTGCAGAGGGAACACAGCGCGCGTGTACGGAGAGATCTCATAAGCTTGCTTCCATTGGCCATATGTTCGTGACGGGTCGGACAGAATGGGCTAATACCGGAGGCATGATTGGTGTCATCTTGACCCAGGCGGATGCGCTGAAATCTTCAAATGATGCCATGGAGGAAGAGAATAGGAAAAAGGCAGATCGCAAGGCTACAGGCATGCAGGCCAAGAACAAGAACAAGCCGTCCTCTGGCGCGGAAGATATGAGGAAAGTCAACGTGACTGTCCACGGAGCTACGAATCTAATGCACACCATGGCGACGGCTCGGCGCTTTGTTTTCCGCACGGGCATGCCGATCTACATGAAGGAGTATGACTCGGCGAGCATCGCAAAGCAGATTGCTTTCGACAAGGAGGATCCATTCGAGACGCCTACCTTCGTTGATACGAACATCAAAGTTTGGGCACTGCCTCTCAAGCCTCAGCCGAACGATGCTTCGAGTCTGACGCGTTCACAAAGCCCGCGGAAGCGAAGCCTGGATGAGTTCCAGGAGACTGATCAGGCAGAGTTTGATCAGAAGGCTCACAACCAGATGCTGAGACAGTCCATTGTCTCGGACATGTTCGATTCGGACTGGAAGATAGATGCGCTTATTGAGACCCCCTTGGCGGAGGTGAAACTGCCTGCGGCTCTCTTCATACGCAATGCGGAGACCAAGGACATCGAGCCCTACAAGGGCCCCGTCCCCGGTGACGATAAGCCTTTGCCTGACATCAAGGTACTTGTTCGGAAGCCTTGGCCCGGTGCCACGGTGACTTCTCTACCACCTACCTCTCCTTCGAAGGAGGCTGTCTCTTACATCATTCGGAGTCACGATATCAGAGGAAAGTTTGAACCCGCCAAGGCCAAGGCTCTTGGTATCCCTGAAGGACCGGACTTCGCTCGATTGACGAGGGGAGAGACCATCCAGACGCCAGATGGCAAAACGGTGACCCCTGACATGGTTCTGGGCGCGCTCCGACGTGGTAAAGGTCTTGCCGTCATTGACCTGCCATCACCGGAGTATGTCGAGGATCTGGTCAATCGGCCCGAGTGGAATTCCCCTTCTGTGATGACCGAGCTCAAAGTAATCATCTGGATCCTGGGACCGGGTGTGGGCGAGCATCCCAAGCTTCGAGAGTTCGTTGCACGCATGCCTCATGTCAAGCATACCGTGTCTAGTGTGGATTATTGCCCCAACTACCTGTCATTCAACAGTGCTGCTGGGGCTGCTATTCGACTTGCTCGTCTGAGAGGCGGGAATTACCCGATTCCGGTTCATGACAATGTGGCTGTACCGCAGGCTCAAAGTAATTCCCGTATCTCGCTGGAGGACTCACCATTCGAGCCTCTTAAGCCTGGACTTATTATCGATATGGAGCCGCAATATGGCTTCAACGAAACCGAGGTCGTGAAACCGTTGAATACTGCCAAGACTGTCTTCCAAATTCCACGCTCTGTGGAGACTCGAATGGAGGTCATTCGTACCCGTGTCCAAAAGCCATCCTTCCAAAAGCAACTAGCTGAGATGCGTAAGGACCTTCCTGGCGCCGATGCGGAGATTGTTGCTCTTGGTACGGGGTCGTCTTCCCCTTCCAAGTACCGCAACGTTTCTGCGACACTACTCCACGTGCCTGGATATGGTTATTATCTCTTGGACTGTGGTGAGAACACCCTTGGACAGATCAAACGTGTTTTCGGTTATGAGAAGGCTCGTGAGATCTTGCAGAACCTGCGCATGATCTGGATTAGCCACCTTCACGCCGACCACCATCTCGGAACTGCGTCTGTGATCAGGGCCTGGTATCAGGAGAATTACGGTACAGAGTCTAAGCCGAGCGAGCCGGAGAGTGATCTTGCCAAGATCCTCCAGGAGAAGCGCCTGGCTGTGGTTTCTGATGAGATGATGATTGCCTGGTTGGAAGAGTATGCCGCGGTGGAGGACTTTGGGTTCGACAAGCTGATTCCCCTTTGTGCGCACCCTGATCCAGCAGGGTCTTCCATCATAACCAGATTCAGCTACCGGCACACTCGCTGCGGCAACGGTCCCTATGGAATTCAACGGGGTGAAAGAACGATACTCGACTTCAAGGATGAGTCTTCGCCTCTCACACCACTCCTCAAGTCTGCCCTCGGCTTGGATCACATCCTCACTACTCGCGTGAAACACTGCAAGGGCGCCCTCGCCGTGTCCATCGTCTTCCCCGATGGCTTCAAGGTCTCTTACTCTGGCGACTGCCGACCTTCGGACAAGTTTGCCTCCATTGGTCGCGACTCGACCGTGCTCATTCACGAAGCCACCTTCCAGAACGACATGGTCGGCTCGGCTCTTGCGAAGCGTCACTCCACCGCGGCCGAAGCCCTCGAAGTCGGCCGCCGCATGGGTGCCCGCTCGATCTTCCTTACCCATTTCAGTCAACGGTATCAGAAGATCGCGACTGTCGACCAAAATGCAGGCACCAGCAGGGATGGCGAACTGACGTCTTCTAGTACTTCCGAGAAGATAGCCGGCGCCGCGGACAAGGAGCCTGTCGACCCTGATATTCCCCTTGACGAGCCTGAGGAGCAGCCAGCTAGCTTCCAGTCTGCCGCAAACCTCCTCGATGACATTTACTTCCCGTTACCTGATCGCCCCGCTTTGCCGCGCAGCGATCTCATCCCAGGTGTGAACGTACCCGTCGCCGCGGCGATGGACTACATGCGCGTGAAGGTTGGCGACCTCGCTCTGGCTCAAGCGTATGCCCCTGCCGTTGAGAGACTCGTTGAACTTTTGGAGAGAGATACCAACCGGCAAGCGGAGATCGCTAAGCAAGCCATCCGCGAGGCGGACGAAACTCGCAAGGCGAAGAAGAATAGAAAGTTCGCGAGTAAGAAGGGTGTCGCCGTGGCTGCGGCTGTGGCTGTGGTTGCTACGGGGGCCGATGAGGAGAAGAATGGTGCTGAGGCCAAACCTGAGCCTGAAATACCAGCACACTCCGTGTGGAGTGCCAGTGAGAGTGAGGCTGGGTGGGAGACGAGTGACTACGAGGAGTGAAAGGCCTCGGCTGTGGGAGACCGCACTATGGATATTGTATATAGATTATGTATACCTCGTGGACTGTGCAAATCTGCAGAAAAGAAAGTGTTCTATAATCAAATCTCAGCTCCTCTATGGTCTATCGTAATGTGTCTAGACATGGATGTTGATCACTTCGCCAGTACTCCTTGTGTCTTCGGGACCTCGGCACGGGATGGGGCCGTTACGCCAGAAAAGCAAAATATATCACATCTTCTACGCAATGTGAGGAACAAGTGTATGACAGGGCTATAACTACGTAAACTGTAGCCATTTTCAACGATCTGATATTAACAATTAAGGGACAATATGCTCAGCTACAGAATTGTAGATGCACCTCAACCCCCCACACCAACACGCCATTAAGCGCCTCTCACCGCCCCACGATCCACCGGGCGTGTGTGTCATCGCCTGGACCATCGCCAGGAACTCCGATTGTCCCCTTCTCCCCGAGTCTCCGACGCATTCGACGGACGGCAATGACGACCCTTATCCCCCGCGAGGCGTACTCCCCCGAGGAGCTGCAGCGCCTGTATCCAAAGGGCCTGAAGCTGCAATTGGTACAAGTGGTGAGTTGGGCGATCTATAACCCAGTCCGCGGACCAGAGCTGGGGTAGCTAGCTAACTGTCCAACCCTCGGCAGTTCTTGCGTCATGGTATGGGTTGACCTGGGCCATATTGGACTTACATGTTGCATAAGTATGGCTTGCTGGAGATTGGATAGAGGCTGATATATGGTGTAGGCGAGCGTACGCCTGTTTCTTCGCGATTTCAAAATGTATGTCCCCTGCGTCATGGGCCGAGCTACTCGCTATACGATGAATAGTTGCTAATGCGCTGTGAAGACAGGCCTGAGCCCATGTATGTCGTCCCTCCGTTACTTGATATTGTTGGCGCGACCTTATAATCGAACAACTGACTGATGCGCCGGGCATAGACTGGCCCTATTGCGGCGTCGCGAGACGCATGGTTCAGATGGCTGCTGGCAACCAGGACCTCTCCTCATGGAACGGGTTCCAATGGCGGCGGAAGATGGAGGCCTTTGGTGATAATGACGAGGCAATTGTCGCTACAGGACCTGGGGATGAAATTGAGGCCATGTGGTTCGTTACTTCAAGGCCCTAGCCCGACGAGACCAGTCTAACTGGTCATCTTATAGTACGCACGGTGAACTCACCGACAAAGGTCGCGAGACGACCTATGCGCTTGGCACGCGTCTGCGCCATTTATACATCGACCAGCTCGGCTTTATGCCCAAGATCAAGTCCGATACGGAGGACATGTACCTGCGCGCCACGCCGATTCCCCGTGCTCTGGAGTCCCTGCAGCAGGCCTTCTGGGGCATGTATCCTACCAGTGCACGCACGCAAGATTTCCCTCCGCCCGTCATCGTCGCTCGCTCTGTGACCGAGGAGACGCTTTTCCCTAATGAGGGCAACTGTCGCCGGTTCCGACAGCTTGCTCGCCTCTTTGCCGATCGTGCTGCGACTAGATGTAAGCTAATTGGTTTAAAGTATCATGGTCACGACCCACTGATTATGTTCTACAGGGAACAACTCTGAACAAATGGACTACCTGGACAAACTCTGGTCCAAGTATATGCCCGAGACATCCCCCAGGGTGGCTGTGGATGCTCACCCCCGTCTCTCGGGTATTATGGACACTATCAACGCTACTGATGCGCATGGCCCGGCTACTAGGCTCCCTTCGGAGTTCTACGACAAGAAGGGCCGTGCGATTTTGGATCGCATTGCAGTTGAAGAATGGTTTGCTGGTTATAACGAGAGCAGCGAGTATCGCAAGCTCGGTATCGGCGCTTTGATGGGCGATGTTGTCGACCGTATGGTCAGCACAGCTGTGGATGGTGGCTGGCGTAGTGAGAGCTCTGCATCTGGATCTGGAGTTCCTGAGGCTGGCAAGTCCATCAAGTTTGCCATGAGCGGATGCCACGATACCACCCTTGCAGCTATCTTGTCCAGCGTTGGCGGTTTCCAAGATGAGTCTTGGCCGCCCTTCACTTCCTCGATTGCCATTGAGCTCTTTTCCCAGCCTCCTAGCAATGCTATCCATGCTGGTAATACGCTTGAGGAATTCTCCAACCCACCCGTCACCGCTAAGAAGCCTGGTGTCCTTTCGTCTCTTCTTGGTGGTGGCAAGTCGGCATCTAAGCAACTGGCTCCCTCCGAGACTGCTCGTGCCCCTGTGACATCTTTCGCCGAGGAGACCCGTGATGCCCTTCGCAAGCACTACGTCCGTATTCGCTATAACGACCGCCCCGTGCGCATTCCTGGCTGCGCTGCTAAGGCTGAGAACCACCTTCCCGGTGACGACACCTTCTGCACATTGGACGCCTTCAAGGAGATTGTCGACAAGTTCACACCCATGAATTGGCAGAGCGAGTGTGTCGCGAACCTGGGTGCTGGTCTGCATGGCCCTAACGACGAGGCCCGCGCTGCCGCCGGCTTCTAGACTATTGTTACTGTATACCTGTGCTTTTTCTATTGTCTCTAGTCTTGTGTGTTTTTTCTCTTGTCCGTACAGATATAATGGGGGGCGATGAATGTGTGTTGAGGATTGTGTAAATCTGGGAAAGACCGCTACTACTAGAATTGCTGTTTTCAAGTCTTATCTCATTGCCTCTTCGCCTTCTTCTTCCTCTCCTCCTCTTCCTTCTTGATGGCCTTGAGCTTCTGGGTTGTTATACGCATCAACACCGACCGCGGCATAATCTCGAATGAAAGGCCCTGCAACCAGTGCCAGAAATACGCCCACACAATCACCTTGCCACACCCCACCCGGTCCAGGGCTGCCTTTGCCATGGGCCGTGGCAACGGAACAAACAGGTTACTATCCACATCATACCCCGGAGTCTTTACTTGACCAACTCGCAAACCCATCACATCCACGCCGCGCCCCTCAGCGCTACATTCCGCCTCCAGAGCCCGCGTAAACGAGTCCACGAACCCCTTGGTCGCAGAGTAAACGCTGATATACGGCAGCCCATACTGAGAAAGGGACGAGACATTCAAAACAAGTCCTGATCGCCCCTCCCCCTCCGATAAAAGCGGGAGTAACACCCGCGTGATTTGCGCCATGAACCGCGCATTCCTATCAATCGTCGCGTCCACATCGGCGAATGCCAATTCATCAAGTGTAACGGACGGCCTCGTCTCACCACCAACATTATTAACCAGCACACTCAATCTGCCCTGTCCACCGATAATCTTGCGCACTTGCTGCGCAACGCCGTCAACAGCGTCGTCTATCCCCACCACATCCAGAACCAAGACGCCAGTCTTGCGCTCTGGAAATGCGGCGCTGAGCTCTGCAGCGCGCTGCGCGAGTTTCTCGCCATTGCGCCCGTGCAGAATCACGTTGAAGCCGCGGGCGCAGAGCTCTTGGCTGAAGCCGAAGCCGATTCCATCTGTGGCGCCGGTTACGAGGGCCCAGTTTGTGCCGGGCCGGTTGTAGCGGGATAATTGGCCGGGGAGGAGGTAGATTATTGCTTGGCAGGTGAGTTTGTAGGTGAGGTAGGTGAGGGTTGCGAGGCCAATGGTACTGAGGGGGTTGGTCCAGATTGTGGTGTCCATCTTTGTTGAGTGGTGGATTGAGGGGATGAGCAGGTGAAGGGAACAAGGTAAAGGGGATAATGAGGTGAGCTTCGCTGTGACGTTGCGGAGAAAGCTAGAGTTCGATTGGCGTAGATGGTTGGCTGACCACGGAATTAGGCTGTTTTGGGGATATCAGGTGGTCAAGGTTTGTTTGAATGGCTTGGCAGGATGTTGTTTTCTATTAAAACGGCTCTTCCTAGACGTATAATGACATAGACGATGTACTATTCTGGTATGCCTTTTATACTTGGCGACACTTCTTCATGCATCGACGGATCTGGTGCTCATCGGCCCGCCAATGAAACCGAATGCCGACCATGGCCAGTGTGGGGGCGGACTGATCATTATATACAGTTTCTAGGAGTTTCGGGATGAAAAAGAAACGCTAGTGCTAGAAATGGAATTTGAATTTCGGATTATTAATATTTGCTTACTCGCAAAGACCAGTTCTGAACTGATTCGTTTTGCCTGATGTATTGTCTGCAGGGTAAAGTATTCGCCGTTTAGATCAGCCAATCCTATGGGTTATAGCGCAAGCGCAGACGTTTAGAGGATTTTGGAATTCTGGCCCATCCTAGGTTTAGTGTGACCTCTCTAAGCTGCGTCTCCTCAATCCTACAGCTTTAGTGGTCCGTGGAACTGGTGGAGTGAACTCTATTAAGTGCTCTCAGATCAGCTTGCGTGTCAGGATTTTGTGTGTTAGCTCATTCCTTCCAAGGTTTGAACTGGTGGTAGATGATCGTTTGGGAATTCGGGGGCTTCCCTGCAAGCAACTAATTCCTCCGCTAAGGTGGGCTTCGAAAAGTCCGGGGCCTATTTTGATTTCCTTCCAAATAATATCCCCGGGGATGGGAAAATCTATCCCACAGTATGGGAGATGGCTTCACAAAGCGGATATCGTAAGTGGTATCCCAAATCATCTTATGTGGTTAAGAAGATATGGTGATCGATGGACACGATTTTTCTAAGGTGTCTGTCGGGAGAAAATGAGAAAGTGAGTTGTACTTTTTTCCTTGGAGGAATCAATTACCATTTTATTTGGACTATATCATGGTTTCAAGCAGTTCGAAGGGTTCTTTCGCCATATACATGGAGGGCGGTAAACAAAGAGAACCCGAACTAGGTGTCCATTAGTTTCCACGGATAGGTCACAGTTGGCTTAGCCGTGCTGGACTCGATCTAATCTCTGTCTCGGGCATCTGAAATAAGAACGATCGCATTGATGTGTGCTATTTACGCCCAGAAATTCAATATCCTATGTCGCGCTTTTGATATGCCATCCAACCTGACTTACAGCGGCTTCATGATTTTTGAACATATGAGACACCATTCTTCAAACACCCTACTCCTTGAATGACCAAAGAGAGCATGATCCTCTTATCTGGCCAATAAAATGCCCTTCCAAGCTTTATTACTATCCCGTCCTTTTCGAATGAGGACCGTGAAAGTCAACAGCGCGAGACGGGTACCTTTGTGGCTATCACGGCCAGCCATACAGAGAACGCCATTTATCAGCACCATGGGGCAACTGAAGCTTCATTGGTTAGTTCTGAGTTCTTCAATTACCCATTAGCCTTAAGAGACTGGTATGAGTATGTATATGGCTCAAGAACGACCACCACACCCACGCGGCAATTGAGGAACTTGGAGACGGTGAACTGAGATAGATAAACAGTGTTGCTCGCAAGGTGCTTTGAGTTTAGAATTTATGCTTGCTCGTTTTCACGAGTCCTTTTCCCTTTGCAATTCAATTATATTCCCAAAGCTAAGATGGTCATTGATTCGGGTCGAGAGTCCATGGCATATCATGTCCAAACATCGATGCAGGACGAGCCTAAGGCCAAGCAGCTGCCAGTAACATTGCTCTCGGGATTCCTAGTAGGCTGCTCTTAACAAACAGAGAGAACGACTCAAGAAGCACTGACCTCTTTGCTCAGGGAAGCGGAAAGACTACTTTGTTGAAACACATTCTCAAGTCACCCGATCATGGCTTGCGCATTGCTGTCATTGTGAATGACATGAGTCAGTAAGTAATTCATTGCTGGCATGCAATTAAACCATACTGATTCTCCTGTCCAATGTCAGGCTCAACATCGATGCCGCCCTTATCAAGAACCACAAGGTCTCTCAGACGACTGAGAAACTCATCCAGCTACAGAACGGTTGTATCTGCTGTACCCTCCGTGGCGATCTTCTTTCCGAGTTAGCACGTCTCACAAAGCAAAATGGGATTGAATATGTCATCATTGAGAGCACCGGCATTAGTGAGCCGATGCAGGTCGCCGAGACATTTACCGCAGAGTTCAGTGCTGCCATGCTGGAGGCTGAGGACCAGATTGCGGACACAGATGAAGACACAAAGAAGGTCTTAAAGGAAATGTAAGTGCTATGTTGACTTGACGTTCGTTCCTTCCAATCTGATTGTCTGTAGCGTCGAAATGGGCGGTCTACACACATTGGCTCGTCTCGATACTACAGTGACTGTCATCGACGCCTTCAACCTGCTCTCAAACTTTGACACCACTGAGTTCCTATCTGATCGTTACGGAAATTATGAGATCGTCCCCGAGGATGAACGCACAATCTCGGATCTCATGGTGGATCAGATCGAGTTTGCGGACGTCCTTATCATCAACAAGATTGAAACCGTTGATCAGGCGAGACGGGACAAGATCTCTCAATTGATCAAGTTACTCAATCCAGATGCTAAGGTTCTCATGTCCAGCTACTCTCAGGTCGACGTGCGTGAGATCGTTGCAACGAATAGATTCGATTTTGTGCGAGCTGCCTCTGGCGCAGGTTGGCTTCGTAGCTTGCATGAGATGACAGTCCAACAGACCGGGAATGGGGAGCGAATGGCTCCCAAGCCAGAGTCTCTAGAGTATGTTTTCTACCCAGCTCAAAGTGAGGATAGATTCAAGAGCTAACAGCGCGCCAGGTACGGAATTAATAACTTTGTATACTCTGCCCGGCGGCCCTTTCACCCGCGTCGTCTGTTCTCCCTCCTCCACGACAAGTTCATCCTCTTGCAGAACAATGAAGTAGAGGAAGAACAGGAAGGCGACGATATGGAGGAAGATGCGGATGGTGACGAGCAAGATGATGACGAGATGGATACCGACTCTGACTCCATGCAAGACTTTGATCAACCAGACCCCGAGGACATCCTGAAGAACAAACGCCAACACCCTGCTTTTGGACCTGTATTGCGCTCCAAGGGCTTCTTCTGGCTACCTACTCGGCCATTCCAATTCGGCGAGTGGAGTCAAGCCGGCGGTATGCTGACCGTTGGCTGTGGAGGTCCTTGGTTCGCCGAAGTACCTGATGAAGCCTGGCCGGAAGATGAAGATGTCATCAAGTCGATTCAAAACGACTTCCAGGGCCCCTGGGGAGATCGGCGCCAAGAGCTTGTGTTCATTGGCGAGGGAATCGATCAAGCTGCGATCTCGGCCCTTCTGGACGACTGTCTGCTGAGTGATCAGGATATGCGGCAGTGGGAGAAGGTTATGAAGAACAAGAAGCTTAGTCGAGAGGCTAAGACCAAAAAGTTGGCCAGTATCTGGGAGGATGGCTGGGAGGAATGGCCTGCCTTTGAGATCGAGGACGAGGAAGAGCTGGGGAAGCACCGCATCAGCGAGTATTTAGGCCATCAACAAGGCCTTAACAGGGTCCATAAGCATGGCCATCACTAGTGTTATCCTTGAGTCTGTTAAACAAGATAAAAGTTGTTCGATTTGTCAATAAAGCAATAATGAGGTCTTCCATAGCATGTGGCTGGCGCTAGTCAACTCCGAGGAGCGTCTTATCTCCCCTTATCGCCCCTTATCGTCGGCATCGCGCTAGGCCGATAACGATAAGGCGATAACGCGGATCCCCCAGCAGCTCTCCGCCTTTCCTCACCTTCCCCTCTGCAGTGCAACATCCTCAACTCTACCTTGTCGACTAAGATACTTGGCCAATTTCCTACTCTACCAGCTGTGTGACGACGACATTGTTCTAGCTCCTGTCTCCTCTACTGAATCGACCTGCCCCGCAGAGGGAGGATGCCGCAAGTCTGACTGCCGCTGTCCGTGACCCCCGTACCACCACAACCTGGCCCAGTCCAAGTATCCGCGGATGCGCGCATTCCCCTGTTTGCGACTGGCTTTTTTCTTCGCTGTCTCTTCTCGGTGACTGTGGTCGTCTGTCACGCTTGTATGTTTTACCCTGGCTGAATTAGATGCACAATGGCTGACACGCTCTCAGAAGTTTCCAAGGTCTGGTCTTTGACCACCTATATGCCCATGGAGGTAAGAGATATCTCTTTTTCGTATTGATCTGCGCGGCATCCGTGTCCTCCTTTCGTCGTTTGAAGCCTTTTCCACCCTGCGATGTGGCTGAACTGTCCCGGATGGCTCTCGGTTTTCGCGCCTGGTCCTTACCTTTGGTGAGACAAGGGACGCTTGGTTCCGAGTACCATCTAGCTATCGGTGAAAAAGAATGATGGTCGATTGCTTCCATGCATGTCATGCTTTCTGCTTCCTGGATGGCCAGGATTCTTGCATGCAAGCTTATCATGCGAAGGCTGTGATAGTTTCGTGTGTAGAGGAAAGTACTCGGCGAGTAATATCTATCCTCGTTGACGGCTGTTCAATCCTTCTTGGGGTCGCTTAGTCGTCGACCTGGAGTGGCCATGGTGGTCAACCGTCGTTGCTGTCTCACCACTCTGCTGTGCTCGTCGACATCCGATGTTTTTGTTTATTCCCTCGTGGTATCCCTCGTCTTCACTCACCCCCCACCCTCCCTCCCCCTCCCCCAAGCCATGCACTTCCCTGTCTGTCCAACATGGCCTTCCCGCATGTTCGCAGAACCCAGTCCATGGATTTCAACAAGAAGGGCCGGTTGTCAAACCCTTGTCTCCTGCATCGTAGTGAATCTAGCAAGACCACCGCCCAGCTAAGTCTTGAGAACATCTTACAGGGAACCACTCATCCTGCTGTCTCGGCCCAGTCCAGAGCGATCTTGGAGCCCAGTGTCAAACCTCGAGATGCAAAACCACGTCTACTCCTGATGGGACTTCGCCGGTAAGTGTGGATTCCGAAGCTTGCTTGGTTCTAGTTCCACCTAGGTGCGTCAGATATTAACGTGATCCAAGGAGTGGCAAGTCATCCATCGCCAGTGTGGTCTTTCACAAAATGCCACCCAATGAAACTCTATTCCTCGAATCCACCACCCGCATTCAAAAAGATTCCATCCAGTGAGTATTGTTGATCGCGCCAAGTCGAGAAAAATATGACTGACTGGTCCTCAGCTCTTTCATGGATTTCCAAGTCTGGGACTTCCCTGGCCAGCTTGAATACCTTGAACCATCCTTTGATCTCGAAGATATTTTTGGAAGCTTGGGTGCCCTGGTATGGGTCATCGACGCCCAGGATGATTACCTAGACTCGGTAGCTCGTCTGAATCGCACCATCCTGACCGTCCAGCAGTACTACCCTGGCATCAATGTTGAGGTGTTTATCCACAAGGTGGACGGACTGTCAGAGGAGTACCGACATGATGCATACCAAGATATTGTCCAGCGCATCACCGATGAACTCAACGATGCTGGGTACGAAAATGCACCCGTACACTTCTACCTCACCTCCATCTACGATTACTCCGTTTTTGAAGCCTTTAGTAAAGTCATTCAAAAACTGATCCCCAACCTCTCGACACTCGAAAATCTCATCACCACCCTGGGGAACAATTGTGGCTTTGAAAAGACCTACCTGTTCGACGTTCTGAGCAAGATTTACATTGCTTCCGATACACGACCAGTCGACATGGCAGCCTACGAGATGTGCTCTGATTACATCGATGTCATCGTTGATATCTCTGAACTGTACTCTTGGGACCACCCGCTTCGCAAGCATAAGGGAGATCAGATGCAAGAGGCTGAGAGTCATGTCGTGCTGCACGACGAGACGATGCTTCATCTCATGGAGATGAATAAGTATGATTTCCCTCTTAACCGTTTCTTAGTCCCATGCTGACGTTCTCCAAAGGTATCTCTGTCTCGTCTCGGTGATTCGTAACCCAGAGGCCAAGGAGAAAAAAGGCCTGATCGACATGAATTGTCGGACATTCCAGGAGGCATTGAATGATGTGTTCTCACGAAGTTGGGAGCGCGAAGAAGATCATGCGACTGAGTAAACACCTACTTAAATCATGTTTCAGTGTTGAAAGGATGGGAGGAAAGGTCGACTTCGAGCCATGGGGCTCGAGTAAGATGAACTGAATGAATCCAAATGAGAGAATTTGAACCGAGAAACATAATCTCAGGTTCAAAACAGATACTCTGTAGCATATAGCTGGTATCAATTGAACAATAGTTCTGAACCCCTTAGGTTGCATTTGGTTTTGCATGCATTGTAGATCCTTCCCTTATGGTTGTTGCCCGCGGATTCTGACCTCATCCGCTCGCCCAAACAGAACACCTCTCTTGTCGAATGGGCAGAATTCAATCCCCCAAACATCCCCATTCGCCTCCCACCACACCCTCGGCCATGTCGGAACTTCGCCAGCGACAGCCTGCAACGTCTGCAGGATCTAATCGGAATGCGGAATCAAAGACACAGCGCAGACAGGAGCGTCGTGCCGACGCGGAAGAAAGCCACGGCATCAGCACCCTCGACATCATCCGCATTATAGCCACACTGATCCTCGCATCATGCGGTCTCTCCTACTACATCACGAACTCTGAGTCCCTACTTTGGGGCTACAGGCCCTGGTTCACTCGTTGGCCCGTCGTGAAAACCTACTTGGTACTTCTTCTCTGCAACCCGACCCTCGGCCATCACAGGCGCAAGAACCACCCTACACAAGCAACTACTAACACCCCAATCCTCCCAGACCGGCCCAATTAACCTGACGCCCTCCGAACTCTCCCTCTACAATGGCTCCGACCCAAATCTGCCCATCTACCTCGCCGTCAACGGCTCCATCTTCGACGTCTCCGCGAATCCAGCTATCTACGGACCCGGCGGGAGCTACAATTTCTTCACCGGGCGCGACGCAACCCGCGCCTTCGTGACGGGCTGTTTCAAGGACGACTTGACGGCGGATCTCATCGGTGCCGAGGAAATGTTCGTCCCTGTGGAGGATGTTGAGCAGGAGGGTATTACGAATGCGCAGAGGAAGATTCGACGGGAGAAGGAGGTGCGTCTTGCTCGGACTGCGGTTGAGAAAACGGTTGATCGGTGGGAGGGGTTCTTCCGGAATCATAAGAAATATTTCCAGGTTGGGAGGGTGTTGGATGATGGGGTTGTTGATGCGGAGAAGGGGAAGAGGGTGCTGTGTGAGAGTGCGAGGACGCAGAGGCCGAAGCGGAGTGAGATGAAGGAACAGTCGTAGATGGGTTGCTTCAGGAGGATACAGATGGTAGTAGTATCCTTCATGTCGGGAGAAGTTATAATGTATAGCATAATGCATAGCGTTTGGTTGACTTTGAACAGCCTATGCCTATACCACTGACAGGCGTAAACCCAGACTTCTACGAGGAGCAAGAATTTGGAAGTTTTGTAACTTTTTTATTTGCATTCGTTCTACCTGAGACGAGTCCAGGAGGTGCGAATGGTCCACACTTCCGAGAAGGGCATCAAACCCAGCCGATTTTCCATCTGAAATGATATCATCCGTAGCAAAAGGAAATAAAGAGAACCGCGAGAAAAGACGAGGAAACGAGACGTTTACTCGGCGGCGACGGCGCGGGCTAATAGAGAAGTTAGTACATGGTTTGTATCGAGTCAAGATCGTATTGAGAACGCACTGTAGATGTTCAGCTTGGAGTGGCTGACAACCTTCTTGATCTGACCCTGCTCCTCGAGGTCTGCAAGGGCCTTGCGGGCAAGGGAGCCGTTGATCTTCAGGCGATCGACGAGGGTGGCGACGGTGATCAGGCGGTAGGTCTGAACATCCTTGTTGAGCTTCTCAAGGGTGGCCTTCTCGAAGACAACGGCGTGCTGAGCCTTGTCCTTGACTAGAGACGGAAATTCATGTTAGTCATCATTTCTGGGCGGGTTTCGGTGCGCATGATTTCTGGACGAGGCCGTGATCGATCCAACGATTCCTTTTTTCCTTTGGGTTCCTTCCTTGCGAGGGCGTTTTCCCGGCCAGAGTTGGAAATCGTTGTCACGGTCGGGTGGGTGGTGCTCGTGATGGAGATGGCGATAACGTACCCTTGCCCTTGGACCACTTCTTCTTTTGCTTCTTGCCACCGGTTGCTGAGGGCGCCTGTCACGAATACATGTTAGTTTTTCTGATGCGCCGGATGGTTTATCGTGGGATTTTGCGCTCACCATTTTGACTGTTGGTGTGGATAGTTCGAAGAGAAGAGGAGGTGGCGGTCGGCTGAGATACGAAATGGCCGTGGGGCGTGACTAAGCACCGCTAACCCTAAGCCCCAGTTGCCTGTTTGTGGTCTCGGTTAGTCCGGGTCACATGATCTGCATGGTCGGATGAAGTCACGTGGACCAGCAACATAGAACTATACTGATGTTGATACAAGAAATATGATATGTTTGTTTTCATTGGAAGTGTGTCTTTCGTACAATTTCATAATTTGAGCCGCAGATTTATGTCCCATATGCCCTTGATTCATGATTCTATCATCATCTCATAATAGGATCCAGTGTTAGCCGCCATCCCTTTGTTACCTGCTCATCATACTTCCAGCATGTCCACCATATCCTTGACTTGTCACCGAATTTAGCACCTCAAATTTCACCACATCCTCTTCTGCAGACAAATATCCGACCACATATTCCTCTGTAGAAGCAAACCAGAAGGCTGAGTCGGGCTCTGACTCCGCAAGCCATTTCACCTCGTACTTGCCGCTTTCGCTTTTCTGGGTGGGAACCCGAGCGATGACAGGGTGAGTGTTCGGTGACCACCATCTTATAGTAGGTAGTGCATTGGTGATAGTATTTATTAGCAGCTGTGGTGTTGAAGAGTGCCAGGCAAGCTGTCGAACGGGTTGCTCGTGTACCAAAACAGAAGCCAGCCTGGGAGAGCCATCTAGAGCCCATATCCAGACAACGTTGGACCGCAGAGAGTCCACTGTTGCCAGAAGGGTACAATCAGGGCTGAAAGTCATGATTGTGACGCCCCGTGGTGATCCTGAAGATTCCGGGCTCATGTTTGAGGCAGATGAGCTGATTGTTTCGGCGTATTCTGCATCCCCGAGAGCACTGGTGAAACGCTCTCGCCAAATAGTCGGTGCAATTTGATCCGCTGGGAAGACGTGTAACAAAGTTGTTGACGATGAGAACTGTGTTGTTTTAGCAAGTAGCAGCCTGCTCATGAAAGGGTTCAGCATACCGTGCGAGTTCGTAGAAGATCAATATTGCCGTTAACTTTGCCCACGGCAAGAATCTCAGAAGATCCATTTAGACCAGCTGCTGGACTCCATTCAATTTGCTTCACGCCCAAGTCAAATGCATCGCCAACACCTGAAGGCCCAGTATAGGTCCTGAAAAGCTGTCCATCTGCAGTGAAAATCAGCACTTTGGTGCCTCCACTAGCAACATCCCAGACGGCAATCCATTTCCCGTCCGGGCTCCATTTCAACCCTTGGGCATCGATAGTCGGCAGCAAAGCGAGCCGTACTAGCTCATAGGACTCGGGCTCATGGATTGTTAACAGATCAGACGTGTCGGGCTTTAGCAAAATGGCAAATTGTCTGGTTTGCGGGCGATATCCGAATCCAAGAGGATGGGCAGCCTTTGGCGTCTTAATCACCGAGATTCGGCTCGTATCGAGTGAATAAATGGTTAACTTTGTATTCCAAGCATGGAAGACAAGTATTTCATTTCCATCACTCCCAAAGTCGATGCTTAGTGCTCCGGGCTCAAGATTTTCGATTTCAGCGACGATCTGCAACGGCTCCAGCTGCCAGACTGAGATGCGAGAGTCATTGGCACTGAGAAGACGTCGTTCTGAGCTACCGTTGGCTCCTCTGGGTGATATCAAGCTAGGACTAAATTTCAGATATTTGATGCCGTTTTCTTTGATCCTGGCGACTTGGGTATCCTTGTCTTCTGAAGCCGGATTGGTGTAGACAATCAGATCCTTTCCATTCACATGGGCGGCATAAAACCCGTCGTCGGAGAGATTTAGCGTCAGCGCAGCTGTGATGATATTAGCATCTGATCAATGAACTCGCTTCGAGGAGACCTACTTCCAGCTCCCGTTGACGCATCCATTGCCGACGCGGCCATCAACGAGGCTGATGTAATTGAGCAGATGTTTGTGTGTATCGTGGTAACGTTGCAATGCACTGTGGTTATTACGCGAATCAATCAGCGCGTAAAATTTCTGACGGATTACACAGAATAGTGGTGCTTTCTATCCCAATGAGGAAATCTGTCTCCCAACAAGACGCGATAATGGGCGGTTCAGCGTGTTTGGTTGTCTGGCCTGAAGGTTCAGGCATCAGTTTTCTTTTTTCCAGCTGGACGCGAACCACAGCTCAGAATTATTGGGTATTTGCCAGTCCTCTCTCAAATCTACACTCGCCATATTATATTGAACTAGAAGATTATCTATTTATGGCGTGGCCTAGCTAATGTCCCTGCAAGGCTTATGAAATCAATGTTTGAGAACGACACTTAACGTCATCCAGCTGCCGGGACTCTGATCTTTCATCTGTACAAAAATAAAAATATATATCACAAGTAGGGACATAACTAAAATCCTCTATTCAAGATGAGTTTGCCACGCTTTTCTTATTTAGAAGTACTGTACTGGTTGCAGCAATTCCCAATCATCTCAAGTTTACCTCGAACAATATAAGGATGAACGTGCCGATAAGATAAAGCGGAACATAGTTATTGCGCCCCGAGATAAGAACCAGCGCAAAAAAAGTAGACTCCGCGGTCTTTGCCTGCGGCCATTTCGGATCTCCAATCAGTCAAAATAGGTTCCGTGAAGCTATTCTCCCGGTGGTTGGGGCGCTCTCTCAACGTCACGCCTAGAAATTTTTCCAGAATGGCGTCCGACGTCGCCCCGCAGAACGGCACCGCGGCCCCCGCGGCTGCACCCAAGAAGCTCCAAGGCCGGGAGTTCTACGAGAGCATTGGGAGCCCAAAGTACATTGTGGCTCCCATGGTCGATCGGTCTGAATTTGTGAGTTCCTTCCAATTTCCCCAGATCCCCTCTGCTCCCAGGCTAACACTCTATAACTTTACTAGGCATGGCGCATGCTCACTCGATCCTTCATGCCCGCAGACGAGCCGCAACCTCTCCTCGCATACTCTCCAATGTTCCATGCAAGGCTGTTCGGCGAACAAGCGAAATTGCGAACGCAACACTTCCAGCCCACTCGCGAAGCGAACGGCGACATGAAAAAGAAAGACGAGTTGTTCCTCGACGGAAACCCCCAGTTCGACCGCCCCCTCTTTGTTCAGTTCTGCGCAAACGACCCGAACGAGTTTCTGGAAGCTGCACGGCATGTGGCTCCATACTGTGATGCTGTGGACTTGAATCTGGGTTGTCCGCAGGGTATCGCCAGAAAGGGACATTATGGTGCTTTCCTCCAGGAAGACTGGGACCTCATTTACAAACTTATTAACCGACTACGTACGGAACTTTCAGTCCCGATCACTGCCAAGTTTCGCATTCAAGAGACAAAAGAGAAGACTTTAGAATATGCGAAGATGATTCTGTCTGCTGGTGCAAATATTATCACCGTGCATGGTCGCAGGCGAGAGCAGAAGGGACATGAGACTGGAGTGGCAGACTGGAGCTATATTCGGTATTTGCGGGATAACTTGCCTCCGGAGACTGTGATTTTCGCCAATGGCAATATATTGAATCATGAAGATATTGAGCGCTGTTTGGAGGTAACTGGTGCGGACGGTGTGATGAGCGCAGAGGGGAACCTTTCCGATCCTACGATATTCAGCAAGCCGCCACCACCTGGTAGCGAAGGCCGGGAATACTGGCGTGGGCGAGACGGCAAAGGTGGATACCGAATTGATGCGATCCTGCGAAGATATCTCGACATTATCTACGAATACGTCCTCGAGCAACCCGTTCCCGAACGGAAGCCACTTTACCTCCCTTCCGATCCTATCGACGAGGCAGAGAAGGCAAAGGAGGAAGAACAAGACGATGAAGCGGAAGATGGCCCGCCCAAGAAGAAGCAGAAGCGCGAGAAGCTCAAGCGGACCAATTCCCCCAGTCTGGGCGTCATGCAGGGCCACCTGTTTCAGGTGCTCCGACCAATGGTCGCCAGCCACACAAATGTCCGTGATGCGCTAGCTCGTTCGCGACCCGGAGATATGCCTGCTTTTGAGAACGTCCTGACCCTTGTGGAAAAGGCTGTCAAGGTGGGACTTGAGGAGTATGAGGTATCTCCCGAAAAGTTCGAGAGACAGCTCGATGAAACTTTGACTGGGTCCAAGGCTACAATCGCTGAGTACGGCCGACCTTTTTGGGTTTGCCAGCCGCATGTTCGCCCTTTGCCGGAAGAAGCTTTGGAGAATGGAGCTCTTACTGCGAAGGGGAAGACTACGGTTCCGAAAGAGAGTGAGCAGAAGAAGCAGGAGACAGAGGCTGATACACCGACTGTCGAAGGTGCTACTCCTGCTGCCAATGGCAATGCAGAACATGGCGATTCTAAGAATGGCGATACGACGCCTGGTGACGTTATGACGGGCACTGCAACCACACCTGACAACCTTGTGAGTGGATAGAGAGATAGTGTTGGTTTTCATACTTCATCTTGTACGCTGCCATGAAAGGATATTCCCATGTCTCCTTATTCTTATAGATCATTATTTTACATAGCGCCGTGTATCTTAGCAAATCTCATACATTTTCATCATCAACTTATTCTTGCCTGATTCGACTCCATTTTTGGTCTTTTCCTGCATTACACTTGCCGAAGATCGAACTTCTCATTTAACCTTGGAAGTCAATAGGTCCTCCGTCGCTTAGAACTAATGAGTAAAATTTCAGAGTCAGTTACTTAAGAATGCAATCTTCCGATCGTACATCGTAGATCGTAGCGGTTCTAAGGTGGTGGGGGCCTCAATGCGTCAGTGAGTCAGGCGTGCGGCTCCGCCACATTGACTCACATCTAAATAGGAGTCATCAAGAGTCATCAATCGTATCTTTGAATTTCACCCCTGAATTCATTGTCATGATTTTCGGAGATTGTGTAGTTTAGAGGGGCCGAGGGGGCTTAGGGGCTAAGTACTACGTTGTTGTTGTTGGGTAGGATGGAAGCCGTGTATGAGAATCTGGGGTGCAGGCATCTGCTAGAATATATAAGTGGTCACTCGCAGTAGAAGCAACAAATTTCTCTCTATCAACATCGTTCAATAGCTTTTTCATCGCTTGAAGAACAGCAGTCATGGCGTCAAACATTGAGACTTTCCATGAAACAAGCCAGTCCAATGGATTAGAAGGACCAGGGGAGAAATCAACATCAAGATCCACTACTCCGCCTCGTCGGAGTGAATCGAGAAGTCCACCAAGAGTTCCTTCGCCTCCTCCATCTGGAGAGAACAGGTTAAGACCAGCTGGAGGTATTCAGTCCATTGAATCTTTGCATTGAATGTATTCCATTCAGAACAACGAACTGACGAGCATGCGCTGGACAGATGTCATCAACCGTATCAACTGGGATTCCAAGTTCAGCCGAGACAACTACATCATTGGATTTGTGGACCGATTTGAAGGGCAATTGGAAGTCAGCATGAACGCCTGGAAGAAGGAGACCACCGATGAAGAGTTCATTCCCCAACATCGGGTCTTGTACATTCGACATGTGGATGGGGAGATTGTTTGGGATCGTCGGCGTCGCATTGACAAGATTTTCTACAGCGGCAATTCAGCGTTTAGTGAATTGGCGTTCTTGCATTGAAGAACAGCTTGGTTTTAGGAGAATGATACACAGGGTGTATGGTTCAAAGGGGATGGAATTGGTGAATGCTGGATGGTGTTTTCCAGTTGGCTGTGATTTTGTACTTGTCCAGTTCTGGCTTTTTGGTCGCTGGACTCGAGTCGTTCCTTCCATGATACCCCAATTGTTCAATAAACCAATTCGCTCCGCCTTTCGTCCTTGCCTAATCATTCTTTTGTTATTATTCTGTAGAGTCGCTGCTTCCTATTTTATATCTTGTTTTGTTTTGGCTTGGGCTAATGGACCGTTGCCAGCTCGGGCTCTGGGGATTCTCTCCTCTTGACAACCCCAGTCGCCAGCTCGTCCATCCTGGAACTATCACCGTGGGCGCACATTTGATGCAAAATGGATCCTTCCAAGCAGAAGAAGCCTTCCCTTCCTCGTCTGGTTACAAAGGCCTCTGCGGACCGCCAATCCACGATCTCGCTGCCGACATTGGCACCTAAGATCCCGACTGAGATCAACTTGCAGCAGCGTCCCAAGTCCGAGAGAGAGGCCATAGCACCTTTCCTGTTTCCAGAGGACACCGATGACGAGAACCTTGCCCCAATCAACAAATACAGCCTGGAATTTAAGATCCGCAAGAGCGTCGAGGAGGAATCGCCAACCGCCACGAAGAAGAAGACGATGTACTATGAGGATGCCTTTGCTATTCGGGGCTCCCACAACTCGCCCAAGGAGCGTGTTGCTCAGGAATCTGTTGTGATTGCGGAGCTGATCACCAACCACAAGGCACGTTGACCCTCGCAAGCTCATTCATTCTTCTGTCTAACATTTGATCATAGGCGAGAGAGGAAAATTCGCGACTGATCTCTGATCTTGTCTCCCGTCTTGCCCAGATCTATCAGCGTTCAGAGTCGGCCTTGCAAGTAGTGGTTCAGCAAGATATCTCAATCATCTTTGGCAACGCCTCGCATCCTTCATACCTGTTGAAGATCTACGCACTTCCATCGGCCATCGGGCCAGTGACCAACATCCGCAACACGGGCCTCATCCAGACAGCTCTTCAAGAGCTTCTGGGAATTCCCCCGGATCAAGGTATTGTTCTTTTCCTGCCGGTCCCCGAGGAAAATCTGGCGACAAACGGATCGACTGCACAAGGCGCGATCTCTCGCCTGGAACGCACCGAAACGGACAGCCCAGGGCTGATCAAGTCGATCTCCCGCGGCATGAGCCGACGTCTGAAGTCGAGCAGTGGCAACAGTGGTCCTTTCTCTTTGCCCTCGGCTCTGGTTTCTCCCGCATCGGCGACTCCGACCAATCTCGTTCAATCTCCGATCGCAGAGACTGCGCCGGTCGAGGACGAGCGACGGGGAAGGACTCTCAAGAAGAGAGAGTCTTTGCGGACCATTATTCATCGTCACATGCGGCCCAAGAAGGAGAGTGAGATCAAGGAGGACGTGAAGGAGTAGATGTATGATCAATGCAGAGCAGGATGTTGTCTTGTTAATTGTCTTGGTACCTGTGTTGACGTGCTGTGTTTTACATGGAAGCAATGAGTAATGACATGAATTATCCCCAAGAGACCTTAATCTTCTCCACTAACTCTGAATTGTAAATTTCGTCCTCGTAGGTCGACTACGGTATAAAATATGCAAGCCACCGTTAGACACTACAGAGGCTTTGGTTTAACCCTGTTGGTACTTGATCCGCCGAAATTCTTCCACATGAACGCCCTTTGCATATTGCAACGACTAAGATTGGCATCGATGACCTTGGAAGTTAAGGTTCTATCGGGCGTGTTGCTTGCTGCTGGCCCTATGTGGCTAGCGGCAATGCTTATAGATAGGTCTTGCGGACCGACTCCACTCCTCCCCAGGCAACACTCGGTTATTCCTCATGGACTCGATACAGCCGCAATGGGATTATGCTTATATATAGAGTGTGATACCCTTCCAAGTCAGAGAGAAGGATAAAAAAGAGCAGAAAACTTGATACTCTCACAAGGAATCGGCATATATCTTTCACTCTCTAGTGGGGCATCTGAACCTCGTATCCGTATCCGGACAGGTCTGTTTGCTAACTGGGAAATTCCATATAGCTTCAGATTCTCTTTACTTCCAGCACAGTCTATGATTCTGCCTGAGAGCTTGACCGCTTTATATATCCTCTTGTTTTCTTGATCGGTCTTACTGGAGTTTTAACAAACAAACCAACACGCGTCAAGCCTCGACTCCCTCACTGCACTTAACAACCAACCAAGAGCCCCCGAACACCACCACTACCACCATATATCCTTGACCAAACACACCAACATATCAAAATCCATCCAACACAAACCACCATGGATGCCCAAGCAGATGCTCAAAGCTCAGCTCAGGCGCAGGGTCCCACCTCACGTCCCCCACTTGTCCCCGGCTCAGCAAGAAGAACGGTGCAAGAGGTGCCGGGTGATCTCTTCGACGCCCCCGAGGGATCTGCATTGATCCGTAAGTGAATCACCGCCCGTCACTCATCTAATCAAATGAAGACCATGAATGCTAACTTGACTAGATGCCTGCAATACCGAGGGCAGTTGGGGAGCCGGTATCGCACGAACCTTCAAGCACCGGGTATGTAAGCCATGATTCCGTATGAAATCAAGTGCAGACCATCAAAGAACCAACACAAAATCCCCGTATACTAGTACCCCGCGGCATATCGCTTCTATCGCGATCACTGCCGGCACTATGCGCAGTCTAGGGAAATGCATGATACCGAGGATATGTATGCCCACGACACGGATACTGCTACTATCAGAATGCCCCTAGGTACAGCCCTGATAATCCCACCACAGGCAGCAGATGCCCGTCCGCGCCGGAAGAAACATTGGATTGTCTGCCTGTTTACCTCCAAAGGCTATGGGCAACATGTTGACCGATCGGAGCAAATTATCAACAGCACCCTTGCTGCGCTGGAGGATTTGAAGGAGAAACTGGCAGATCTTCGTCTTGATGGGACAGAGCCGTCTCCCACGGCGCTGTACTCTTGCCGGTTTAATTCGGGCTTGTTTGCGGTACCTTGGAGCCAGACTCGGGCGGCTATTGAGCTGGTGGGATTGGAAATGACTGTGATGACCCTGCCTGGGGGGAATGACGACCAGGAGTAGTCCACGTGTCTGCATGAGAGGCGATGGTTTTTTGAGCGTCAAATGTTTGTGTTTAAGCGACACTGGAAACCTAGTCGTATTTTTCTTGTGATGCTGGTGATGAGGACATGGTGTAATCAGTTTTTTTTTTTTGGATTTCACATACCCCAATTATGTCGCAATGAAGACTTTCATGTCCAATCAATCAAATTGGAAGTATTCAACTCCTTGTAATGATGCTATTGCGTGGAATATACAAATTTGCTCGATTCGAGACATCACTCTGTGATCACCTGATACCGCGTCTCAAGAGAGCGCGACCCGCGTCGACTCCCGCCAAACCGCCAATCGGCCACGGTCTTATCAACCATCGAACCCCGAACCATCATTGGCGACGTGACAGCCAGGCCATTGAAGAAACAGCTTGATTACAACAATGGCAGAAGGACCTGCACAGAAGAAGCGCCAGCTTCCATTCAAACCACCGAGTCGGGCATCAAGCAATGTCGGCGCTGGCCCATCCTCCGCCGCCGCACCCAAACCGAAGAGCAAAGGCAAACAAACTACCACCAAATCAACCACCAGCAAATCATCTTCTTCAGCATCAGCCTCAAAAGCTACAAACCGCAAATCCTCCTCCTCTGCCAAACGCCAGCGCGTCGAATCCCCACCTGCCTCAGAATCAGTCGACGGATCAGACGCCGACTCGGACGCATCTACCCACAGCCGCGAGCACTCCCCCTCTCAAGAACCAGACTATATCCTCGCTGAGATCATCACACACCATGAAACTGAGGACGTGACCTCGAGCGAACCCAAGATCCCGGCAAAACTGTTAACACGCCTGCTGCATCACCATTTCCAAAGTGAAAAGACCAAGGTTGCCAAGGATGCAAATATGGTGGTTGCGAAGTATGTAGATGTCTTTGTGAGGGAGGCTATTGCGCGCGCGGCGTATGAGAGGGCCGAGGCGGATAGTGCTGGTGGTGGGAGGAGGGCTGGTGATGGGTTTTTGGAGGTTTGTTGTTACTTCGAGTGTGAGGATTTTAGTGGGTGAGATGCACTGCTAATTTGGCGATGTAGGTGGAGGATCTTGAGAAGATGGCGCCGCAGCTTACGATGGATTTTTAGCGGATTGGGATTGGGATCGATATGTCCTTCTACTGGATGAGGATACTTGACAGGGAACGAGCATGGCGTTGGGGTTATTGTATTCATTCTGTCGACGTTCTGTTGCTTCGAGATACCAAATACCCTGCACGAAAAGCACTGATATCATATTCACCTGGACATAACCATATGATCTTCTAGATATACCTGACCCGCAACATTGAGATATCCCGGGGACTGTGGTATGCTGGCGGCGTTCCGAGAGTATGGTCTTCCATGAACGGCGGGACGGCGTCCAAGCCATTCGCGTTATGCAGCATCGCAACATCGTGATTGACTTGTTGAGATACCCATGAATTCGCTGGATATGCCGCCCTCTTCCTGCTGAAGTGGGCCACAACCACGGGTAGCTGGTTGTGTTCAGGAAGATGGCCGAGCTTCGCATCGTATGCCTCATTGGCGATGTCGAAGACGAGGAATGCGCGGCTACGCCATTTTTGAACGGCGAGGAGTTTCGTTACGGCGGGATAACCTGTTGTTTTCCACATCTTTCTCTTCTTGAGGAGGCGCATGGCTAGTGGAACAATTTCTTCTGGAAAAGTATTGGTTTGAGTGTATAAGGAGCTTCGTTGTGAGACGATGACAAGCACTCGAAGCGGTTCTGGATGAGCCATTGTGATCTATCATTGTCAGATGCATTATCCTGTCAATTTAATTACAGGAGAAACCTACATCTAGGCGTTAGGAATGAAGTCGAGCAGAAAACCTTTGCGAATGTAGTCTACGGGCTTAGCTCTGGTTACATAGGGCCTGGAAGATGGCCTAGTCTTGGCTGCGTGGCAAGAGAATCAGGACCTGCAGATTTTGACACGGCACCGTATAGACCAAATTGAAAGTTTCAAATCGTCTGGCATACACGTTCCAAGGACAGGTGAGATCGTGTGGAACTGATAGTTCATCTCCGAATCTTGTACTACGGTCACGTTTTTCAGAGTCAGAAGAGAATCGCAGGACAAACGCATCAGCGTATGATTCCAAATTCAACTTGATAAATGTCCAATTGTATGGTTTGTCTTGCAAGAGAGAAACCGGTCTTTGCCTCGTTCAGGAATGTTGTCGAATGCTGCCAGCCGACAGGGCTCTTGGGCTTAGCCAAAGGCGGTCTGTTGTCCCTCCCCGCCCCAGCGCGTCTTTTCTTCTCCAACGCGCCGGTTAAGTCGAGCCTCGCCCTGACGAGAGCCACTCCACCGTTACAATGAACGATGCGACGACTTCCCTGCTCACAGAGCACTTTAGCTACACCCCCTTGGTAAGTTAGATCCAGCACTGGAGTGTTTTGGGCACCCCTCGCTGCATACAGGGCCTGCGCGCATCTGCGCGCCATTCGGAGACCCACCCCTTGAGAAACCAGCTTGCTGACCTGGTTTGCCTTTCCAGTCGCTTATCGACGACATAATAAATTCGATAAACAACCTGATTTACCAGGCGATTTCAAGTCTGGAGTCTGGATTGCTTGCGACACCGCCTGAGCGCTTGGGGTTCGGACATGCGAGTAACGGTTCGACGATTCCGGATACAGACGAAGATGGCAATGTCGTTTACCCGGAGGCAAAGTTGGAAATTGAGAACGGGCTGCATCAGCTGGAGACCCTGCTTGAAGCCAATGTCGACAAGGCATTCGACAAGTTTGAGATTTACGTGCTGAGAAATATTCTCACCGTGCCGGAGGATCTGCTGTTCTGGGTGCGGCTTAAACATTATGAGGTAGGTGGCAGTTTGTGACTTTGCTCCCTATTATGAATTCCTGAACTAATTCGTCCATTATTCACAGGGCCTCTCGTTTGAGTCCTCCCCGGATACGCCCACCCCCGAGACCATCCACGCGCAGCGCAAGAAGCTCCTTGAAACTCGAAAGCTCAACCGGTCACTGAAAGACGAATGCTCCCGGAACGAAGCCGTCATCGCTCAACTGAAGTCAATTCTGTCAACAGTGGAAACCGCCAAATCAGACGACGCTACCGACGAATCAAAGATAACTCCAAAGAAAGCTCTGGACCTGTCCTTCTTGACATCCAGCCCAGCTGCACGTCAGCTTCGCGTCGGTGTGGATGCCGGTACCAATTCCAAACACGCCCCGCTTACAACAAATACAACTTTCATTCTCTCGCAGCTTCCGGCATTGCAAGCTACTCTTGAGCGGCTGCGGCCGAAGTTGGCCAGCTTGCCGGCTTCCGCTCTCGAGGTGGAGTCCAAGTCTAAGCGGGACGAGCGGAAAGAATACATTGAGAGCCGGATCAGAATACACCTGGAACGAGCTGGGCAACTGGCCATGGGCGATGATGGCAACCCGGTCGTTGCGGGACGCCGGATCGATATCTCTGAGGCCCATGCTCTAGAGAACGTGGCCAACATGCTTATGCAGGAACACAAGTCGTCCTAGGATGATACGCCGATCAAGGTGAAATGGTCCTATATGGACTTGGAACTTTTTATTCTATTTTGCAGGCTGAGATTAAACTTGGTCCTTTACGACCAAGTCACAGTCCAGGTCTCCTGGGTCTTGCGGAAGGGAACCACGTCGGTCTGATCAGACTTCAGGATCTCCGCGATCTTCTCACCCTTCTTCTCAATGGTGATGAACTCCTTCTGCTCCTCACCGATATCATAGAAGGCTCGGCCAAACTTGCTCATGAATCCCTCCACAATCTCCGGCGTGATATCCTCATCCTTGAGTACGCCGTTCTCAACGGCCTGCTCGAACGAATCGAGAACGACCTGGGTCGTGTAGGGTTGGGTGAAGACACCTGCGGCGATCTTCTCGCCGCCACGCTTGGAGGCTGAGGGGTGGGGAGCGCTGTCGGAGCCGAAGAAGAACTTGGGGTTGCCGGACGCAGCCGCGCGGAGGAGGGCGTCTCGGTCGGCAGGGGTTTTGGCTACGGGCTTGCAGAAGCAGAATGGGTCACCAGCCCACGAGTCAATGATAATGGACAAGTGGTGAGCAGTGATGGTACCGGCGACGGTGGGACCGCACTGCTTGACAGCCTCGACGGCCGCCGCAGTGGTGCAGTGCTCCAGGATGATGCGCAGCTTCGGGAACTTGGCATGCAGCTCAGCCAGAATGGGCAGGAACCGTTCCTCCGCGGACAAGACAGTCACATCGCCCTTGGAGGGAGCCTCGCCGTGCAGGTTCAGGATCAGACCCTGACGTTCCATCTCGGCGAAGACCGGGTAGAAGGAAGTGTAGTCGACAACGCCGGAGCTCGAGTTGGTCGTCACGCCAGCCGGGTAGCTCTTGACACCGGTGATACCGCGCTTCTTGGCCTCAATGATGGTCTCGGGGGTAATCGACTCGTGCAGGTAGAGGGACATGAGGTAGTTGACATTGGGCTCAATGGCCTGCAGGCGCTTCTTGTAGTCGAGGGCATGGTCGACGGTCGTGATGGGCGGGACCAGGTTGGGCTAATGTGGGCAAAGTGTTATGATAACTGCACCAATTCCACAATTCATTTGTTTTTAAGGTAGCTCCTCTCTTACCATGACAAACACTGTGTTCACACCACCCTGCCGGATGGTAGGAGTCACCAGCTCCATCATCGGGCCATCACGCAAGTGGACTGTCCGGGGTCAGTTGTGCCGCCACTTCAAGCTTCGAACCAACTCGGGAGACTTCTCCTCCAATGCCCACTACGTACCGTGGAAATCGGCCGAGGCCGGGAGCTTGACTCCTTGCAGCTTGGACAAGGGCATTGTGTATGTATGTGAAGATGTTAACTGAGCTGAAAGCTGAGTTGTGGCAATCAAAAGGAATCATTGCCCCGCCGTGTTTTCTTTTCTGCCGGGCGGTGGATGCCCCGACCGACTTTCCCCGCGCTCTATATGGAGAGTATGTATGTATACAATTTCAATTCGAATAATCAGTATGATTTTAGATTTTCATATTTCACAGATTTTATCATTGCAAGAAGTACTATGGGGTGCAATGATTTCCCTCAAACTCAAACGTCTTTACGTAATATCAATTGGAAGCCTCCTTGAGGTACGAGTCCGGTTTACTCCATTTACTGTTATTCAGGCAGAGCAAATGCATGGCTATGCTCGTGCGGCTCTTTTGACATTTTATCATTGTGGACAACATGAGAAGAGTGCATTATTTGCCCACAATTTTCAAACCTTTTATGTAACAACAACTAAACGACTAGTCAAACTAGTCAAACCACGGAGGTTGTCTCCTCGAACCATGCAATGCTGTACGGGTCCTACAGCTAGTAGGTATCTAGCTTACTCCGCGCTCCGCGGAACTCGACAAGGCCAAGATCTGTCCTCTGATTAGCTGGCCAACAAATATATGACACCCAGGAATATTCTACATAACAATAATGGCGTTAGTGAAATAGATTCATAGCAATTCTGCCTTCGAATAATACTTCTATGAATACTCCTTTCGATGACGGTGTGCTCACCCTACTAAGCTGACGGGTAGAGCGCACGAGAGAGCGCACGAGACACACCGAACCAGAAGGGAACAATGGTCAAAATGCGCTCCGTAACTAATTAGATATAGTTGTTCTTGTGTTATACGAATCAAAAGAAGTCTCAGATTTAGTTTCGCTAGCCTCGGGGCTACCTTACAAATAGAGCGGAGTGTACGGAGTAAATAGGGGTGACGGTGAAAAGACCACGATTGTGCGTGGCTTTTGGAGGGAGAATCGTGGTCTTTTCACCTAATTGTATGCGCTTAAAAAACCACGCTAATTGTGCCTCCGGCCCAGACGAGGGGATAGTGGGATACTCTTTAATAAGATTTACCTAAAGAGATTTACTTACTTAACTCGTTAGTATATACTTAAAGTTAAGAACATAATGGTCAAGGTGGCACGCCGTTCGCATCAGCCAATGGATCAAAATTGGCGACGCATCCACGCCGCATCTCAGTCAGCTCTCGACAATTAGCACAGAGTGGTCGTACATTTTGCCAAACACTGCCGGACAAGTTATCCTCGTAATTTGTGGGAAGAACTCCTTGACGTTGGAGCGCAATTCCATGAACTGCAGCGGGATTTCCACTGTGCCTATCTAGTAGTTAAACCAAATTTTTGCATCGTAGTGTGTCGTTGTAGACTGGAACATTGACTTACTGGAATAGATGAACGAATGGGTACGTCTCAGCACAATTTCCGAAACGAATGAGCGTCTTATTTTCTCTTTGCTCAGGACAATTCGTCATTGTGTTGCCGCTCTCTATCATGGCAGCATCATTGATCAAGGAGAATCGCCCTTCCCAGATCACCTTACTCCACGGTCCAGTAATGCCGGGGTAGGAACGGAACCCTTTCAAAGAGGCCCCAAGAAAGAATGTACCTTTGCCGGGCCCGTACGCTATCCATGTGCAATTATACATCGTTGGAACAGATGCCGCAAGAGTACTACACCACTTAGCGTACATTGCTATTAGTGGGAGGTAGAAATTGCGTTTTGTAGCCCTGCTCGGCCCAACTCCAATAATGGAAAGGAAAAGGCCGAGCATGTCGAAGAGACCCCAATAGGGGACTCCATCGTGCCAAAGGGGGTCTAGCAGGAATTTAGAAGCCTTCGATGGATTGCGAGAGTCCCATTCAGGGTTCAGGCGCCGCTTGATCATTTGATCAGGCTCTAAGCCAGGCGACGCGAAATCACCGCCATCTGGAGGACTAGAAACCAGCAAACAATTAGATTTGAACCTGTAGTAGATATGAGACAATGGCTTTCTCATACCACAGCATTTCAATCTGCGCGAGAATTCCCCTAAGCGATGGCAATTGACAATCTTGAATATCATATAGATGTCCATTATTGACCACATGGTGAAGAAAGCCGAATATCTACCATTCCAATGGTCAGCATCGGCTCTATACAGTGGAAATATGCAATTTAAACAGCACCGTATAGTGATTCACTTACCTGCTGGCGATCATAAGTGTAAGCCCTTCTCAAGTTAAGAATCTCGTTAAAAGCATTGAGGACTTGTTCTGACGCAGGTGCCACTGCCATGATCATGAGCAGAATGTGGTGTGTTTGCTTAGAATTCTCATTAAGAAGCTGGTAGAGGAGTTGAATTGTTCGAAACAACATTGCAACTTGGCAGGTGTAGTATGCCTAATTTCACCACCCTGCTCTTTCCTCCCGGAAGGAACCACCCTCGAAGAGGCCGTATTCAAGTAATAAGTCATATCTTTCTATTTTGGAAACCGCCTACATAGCAGCTGTTTGAACAGTACAATGAGGGTATTTTGTCTCGACAGGTTAATTAATTAATTGAATTTAACGGCGATGATTCTGCGAGTATGATATCCTGATTAGTGAAGTTGAAGCCTAGGATACAATGTACACCTTAATTGTAAGGTATGACTGTTTGGGGCCGATTCGTCAGTCCGCTTGCGCTTATCTGATTGATTAGTTAGTTAGTTAGTTACCGCAACGGGATTATTAACTAGTTAGTTAATATTTCGTAGAGGTGGCCATAGTAGCTTTGTTTGTTAATTTTGCATTCATGCACGTGGTCGCGGATTGGCAGAAACTACTAACAATTACATCAGACCTGCCCTTAATCCCGATGATCCCTTCACCAACTCACAATCCTGACAAGCGGGCTCATGAAACCCTGTCCACTGTTACGATAATGCCTCCCTCCAGAACCTCTACTCCACCCTCTATGGCGGTCTCGCCTATCAAGTCACCTACGAAAACCTCCGCCCTGCCACCAGTAAGTACAGGTTAACTCCCTCTTGTTTTTGGTTATATCGCTAAGAGTTACCAGTTTACCGTCCCCCCTGGCTGGACCTCGAACCCATCAAGTCCTCATTATCAGGAAGAGTGGATAGGCGCCGACTCCGAAGGTCAAATAATTGCTCGATCCTATGGTCTCCAACCAGGACAGCCGGTTATGGAGGATAATAACGGGTGGCACACAATTTTCCTGTCTAGCAATAAGTTCTATCTTTGGGGGCGGATGAACGACGAAGTCGAAGAATTTGTGTCTCAAGATATCCGCGAGATCGCTTCTTCGATTTCCCAGTCGGGGCTTAGAGAGCTAGCCAGAAAGCCTCTTATTTAACTTCTTTATGGAATATACGACTTAGATCACGAGGGTAAACACCCTAACTAATATATCTCTTCTTTGACCCATAGACTACGCTAGAGAGCTCGAAGGGCTAAACAGGGCCGGCCGTTCGCGCTTGCGATATAAGGGTTAGCGGAGCTCGGTGATCCGGATCAATGAAAAATGCCTCACTCGCAAGACGTACGTGAGGAGCGGAGAGAAAGAAAGTGTAGGAGGGCGAAAAACAGTTAGAAGTTGAAGCGGCGATGGTGACTTTATAGAAACACGCACGATGATAGTAACGCGCCGATAGGCGCTAAACCCGAATAGACACGCTAAACTCTTTTGCGGAATTTACCGTCACCGAATTATACGGAGTACAATGTCAGTACGAAGAAGGATAGTTGCTAGGATAGCGAAATGATGTAAAGACCCTACAGTCTGTGCCCAATAGTGCTCAGTCTTTCTAGAAACCAGGAAGAGAGACCGTACGTATTGAAGTCTGGTAATACCGGGAAATGAGGCCATGCATCCCTGGGGAGCCTCCCCTTTGTCGAGTGATCGGAGTCTTCGGACCTTAGCATGGGTCGACAAGGAGTTCTTTCGTAATGCTGGCTTCGATGATACTTCTCTGGGACTGACCCCATCCTAAACGTGGTAGAAGCCCGAGCTACGGGATCCACTAGGATTCCGGGAACTAGTCGATTTGCTGGAACTCGTTGTGACTGGCGGACGCATGGATAGTGATTGATAGTGATAACACCACGGTCTCTTTAGAGTACGAATAGCGAAAAAAAAGTTCATCAAGGGGGTGGAGATGCATAAGCAAGGTGGCTTTGGTGGTGGCTTTGGTGGAAAGCAACCGGAGTGCAACCTTGATAACAGCAAATCAGCATGGTTTGGTTGTTCAACTTGCAAGGATATCTTGGACCCCACCACGCCAACGAATATGAGAAAAACCGGAGAATTAATGAAGGCTCCACATAAAAGGAAGAGACTATTGAACAGTTTAATGCACACTCTCCGAAGAAGGAACATTCCACCCTGGTTCTCCTGCTAGATCAGGCTGTAGCCCTGGTTAAACTTCCATAAGCGAGAAGAACGATATAAGTGGAGAAACCTGATCTCCTAGCGCCACGTGTGTGCCAAATTATCCTATTTATACCCACGGACATCGAGTTGTTATCAGCGTGAATCTACACCGGCGATGCCGAGGTTTTCTGGAACGTCTAGGAATATCTTGATAGGTGGAAAGCTGTAATGACTGTAAAAGCCCTAGCTTTGCCGGAACGATCCGTGCTAATAGTTTGTCGCTGTGCACCCAAGTTAGGAAACATCTGCGGTGGACTTTTTCTGTTTGGTTGTTTAGTACGAAGAGCGGGGCTGCCGAAGGAACTATTGAGACGCCGTCTGCGAACGGAGGACAGTCCGTGCGGTTTCTAAATGATCGGAACTTGCCCCAGGACCCCACTGCATCTTTTCTTGGTGCATTGTCTCTGAGCTTCTACCAATCATGTCTAATTGGTGGCAGACCAGTCAAGTAACGCTTTTGCTGATGTAGGGCCTGTTGAAATTTCAAGGTCTGATGTCGACTACAAAGGAGTATCCGGCACCTCCTTTTAGGTCGCCATCGAATCCAGGACGTCAATTCCCAGCCGTGTGTCGGTGACCATGAACAGTCCTAGAATTCGTCTCGATCTCCTCACCTCCGATATTCTCTCGCGGATCGTGGGATTTCTCCAGCCTGGAGATATTGAAGAATTATCCTGCGTCAATAAGCGGCTCCGGGACGCGTCAATACCCTTGCTTTTTCGCGCCGTCAGATTCGAATTTTCCAAGTCCAGCTTGAATGGATTAAAGCGTCTTTCAAATTCTGATATACGGCATCATGTGGTTTCATTGACATATGTCGCTCCGGAAATTCTGAAACCTGGTAAGACGAGCATTTCTCCATCGCGTCTGCATAGCAGAACTAACCAGCGTACAGAGATTATGGATTCGCAGAGTTTCACGTCTGAACTTTTAACTCCTGATGACTATACCGACTGGATGTTTGAAGGTCGCGGTTTCCTGCCTGATGATTGCCCATCCTACATGCTCGTATACGACGTTTTACGCGATATCTGCGAAGAGCAACAAGAGATTATAAGAGACGATCTCGACAAGACTGCTTTATTCTCCATCTTCGCACGACTGCCTCGATTAAGAACCATGAGCCTATCTTTTTGTCCAACGATAGAAGAGGAAGAATGGATAGGATCTGTTCTGGCTCGAGGATTGACAAAGGAGGAGTCTTGTGAATACCATTCCAGAGCTATTCGAAATGCTATTGAGATCGCGAGGGACTCTACATCCACTGAAAGCACGGTTCGGGTCCTCCTCACCGAGCAGCCCGCTTAAAGCCTGGCGAACGAGCGAACCTACAATATCGAATTACCAAGTACCGAAATTTCCATGTGCCCGCGAAACACCTACCTACAACGGCTCCTGTCGCGTGGATTTGACCCAGAGGCCCCAGTTCCCAAAGGGTGCGGCATGTCTGCAATATACAGGTAATAGGGCGTTTGTATCCAAACCTGAGTGGCCTGGATCTTCAGTCCATGTACAATCCACGCCACCAGGGAGTGAGGGATACAAAACCGCGTGAAAATTCTACGCGATGGGAAAGCCAGCCAAGGTCGGGGATACTACCTCAGGACCAATTATCTAACCCAAAAATGGTGTATACATCTGACTGTAAGATAGAGAGCTAGCCGCACAATTCAATAGAGCCGGTCGGTCGCAAATGAGAGATTTTCAACCTTGGTATCTTGAAGCTTTATGTCCTTCTCCGAAGCTTCCTTGGACCCACTCGACCATGTAGACTTCCAGTTTGAAATAGGTAGGTCACGATGTCGACCAATAAAAGAAATTAATATCAGCAACACTTTGCTGAACGAGCTCCATTCTCCACAGAACGAATAATTTTTGCCGGGATATCCAACACTCACACCCACATAGCTATATGCGGATACGACTTCAAAGATTATGTTGAAGGTGGAGAAAGCCAGAGGCTGTGAGGTGTAATGATTCGACTCAACAACACAGATGACAATGATGGCAAGGCTAAGCCACCATAGATCATAACTAAGCTGGACACGAAAGTGCTCGTAGTAGACATGACGACGGCTAAGTATTGAGCTTTCTGAGCCGCTTACAGGAATTGAGCAGGCCAATTCGCCAGCTTCGAGGCATGGGATGCTTTTTGGCGTCTTTCGTTGTGGATATGTGCTTTTGGTAGATGTTAGAGGAAATAATCTATCTCGTGGCCAGAAATAAGTCATACCTGAGGACAGCTGACGCTGGGAATAAAGGGAGATACTATGACGGAAAAGTTAGACCTCATCGTGCTAGTCAGCGAATGTAAATTCTCACCATCATGAGGACTATTTTTATTCCTGTTAGCAAGCTGTCTGTTCCAGCCATGGCTTCTGGGATGGACGTACCATAAACAATAAGCAGTCCTTGCGGCAGAGTCTCGAATGTCACGACAGAGAACCCACCACCCCGAACAGCTGTAAACCCCCCCATTTCAGCTTTGCCCCCAAGGGATGGCTTTCATCTACTTACCAGAAGATTGGAAAAGCCCGTCCAAGACACGAAACTTGAAAGGGAGGCTCGCTATTTCGCTGTTGCGAAGGGATGCAAGCTCAAAGGCCCCCAACATGATGCCATTTAGCATCAAAACAGTGCCAAATAAAAACCAGGTGTGCCAGGCCGGGTATAGAAAAGTGCACACCTATAGATACCGTCAGCTTGTTATCCTTGTATACAAGCTGATGGAGGTGAGATTACACTTTGAGGTTGGGTAAGAATCAGATCTAGAGTTTGTTGCCACAACCGCCACTTCCGCCTTTCTGGTAGGGCTTTTCTCATAGCCCAGATCACAAGTCGTAACAAGCAAGGGAATAGCGTGTTACCAGCAAGAATTAGAAAGCCGCAGATGAGGAGTGGAGTTGGTCTAGAGAGGTCGACATTAGTAGATTGCAACATTGAGTACGTCCAATATGAAATGGAAAGTATACTCTAGTTGAAAAGGTGTCATATTAGCATCAATGAGTGACATCCCGTTGTTGACAAACGCAGATGTGGCAAGAAAAGCACCTGCCCATAGAGGAGAGACTCCATCTGTTAGAGGAATGTCTGGGCGAGCTAACTTCAACCAAAGTCCAACACTCAGAATGCCGATAAAGAGGAACGAAACAGTGTAGAGTATTGCAAGCAAAGATACTAAGATCATTGCGTTGTACTCTATCCAACCCGGTTCACTAGGGTCGATTGATCTGCTCAGGCTCTGATGATTTTTGATTCGGGGCCATATGCTCTTCAGCTTCATGGAAATCCAAAATAAACATGTTTTCAAATCCCTGGCGCTCCCTGGGTGACTAAAGCCCTCTATGCACTGATATTCTTGACTTGTATCAGCATATGACGGGTTGGTGATAATGATGAAGTGACGAGCGTCTCGAGAGACATTGGACTCGTCCGGGGATGGAATATCTGCATATATTCTCCTCTCTGTGATGTGTGATTTCAACGGACTCGACAGCTTCGCAGAAATAAAAATATCATAGCTCTCATCGGCCACATTTTCTTGTGTGTGTAGGACTGGTTTCCGGATTATAGTCTGCCATCCTATTTTATTTTTGTCTTTCAGAGCAAAACGAAGGGTTAGGGCGCGTAGGAACGAGATGGCTGCGTGGACTGGAATAGCGTGGCCCATGATCAAGAGCATGAATAGGGTGACCTGTTGTAGAGCGTTCAACGTAGAGAGGTCCAGCTATGCGACATGTTAGCAATTGAGCTCAGACTGTGGATGATCTCTGAGATAGACTAACCACGCTGAGGCCAGTTCCCGTCATGGCACTGAAGCTCATGAACAACGCGTCAACATACTGTAGATGATTGATCTGCGTCGAGCTAGTGTAGAGTATGACACTCCCGATCATGGACATGAGGAAGAAGTATGTACAATGTAATTGAAGGAGTCTTGACTCTAAAAGAGGAGCCATGATCGGCAGACTCTACTATGTGTCGGCGTAGGCATCAGACACTAGGAGCTTTAAACTCATTTAAGAGCCATCGATAGGGAGTATTTCAGCAGAACAAATTGCTGCCCATCAATTCAATAATAACGAAGTCGTCCATATGCTGAATACTACCTGAGAGCCCTTTCTGCATGGAATGTTGGCCGGGTAATTACTCTACATCTCTCTCAGCTTCTTGATAAAGGTCCTGAGGGTACGGTGCCTAGACCTTCTGCCACTTAAGCTAGGCACGTGAGATCATATACATCTAATGAAACATACCCGGTCCCAGACCAAGTGCGCATTCCAAGGGACGACCCGCTGAATTCTTCCGATGTAAGGCTGAAATATGTGGATATTGAGACATTCGGCACGTCCCGGTTTCTGAGAGATAGTTCCCCATGTGTCAATTCCCTTACGCGCCACCTTGGTGGCTCCTTATCGAGAAGCCTTAATACTGGTCTGAAGGTATCGATGACTGGGCCCGAGTATTCGATCGCCGCCTAAAGACGTTCCTCGCGGCAATGAGGCGTTGTGAAGATATGGACGCTCGGCACAGCTAGCGCCGGCTCTCGGATCAGATGCAACGGAGCTGGGAGAGCGGAGACTTCTGGGTAGTGTATGCGATTTTGCACAGCTTTGCGTTTGACGCGATCTACTGGCAGAAGATCGACCAGCGTTTTTTTGGGCCTACGGAGACGGACGATCCCGGCGACGCATGGAAAGAGCGGTTGAACCTGCTGGATGAAAACCAGAAGGCTGAGATGGAACGGCTAGTGACGAGGAATCTTGAGGAGATGGAAGGCAGGGTCTTGGCGTGGGACCCAGATGAGTATACTGAAGCATTTCGGCAAGGGTTGATGAGGGGGAGAGAAGAAAAAGCAAACGAGGCCAAGGAATTTCACCAGGAGCCGGAGAATTGAATGCACGATGTGCGGTTGGCGGTTTTGGAACCTCTAACCGCCACGACACGTTCTTCAACCACCTCCCCTTAAGACTGTCGGTTTTCTCACGGTTCCTGTGGTAGGTAGCTTGAGAACAAAATGAGCCGCTGCACTAGGCTATACCAGGTTGGGGAAAGGGTCGCCGTGGCGATTCGGTATAGCTTAGGTATTCAAGGCACCTCTATGACTGCAAGAAGTGCTAGAGAAGGTCTCTTAGAGAAAACTGGTTGACTCTTGTAAACAACGAACTTCTAGTGCAAAAGGTCCAGTCTCCAGGATCCGCTAGCCGGTTCCTAGGAACCGGTGGGCGCCAGGAAGCTAAGCCGCGATTCCAGGGAGCAGCAGAGGTTCACTAAGGGCCTAAGACCAAAGCCTTTCGTCAGCCAATCTGAAGCCACTCGAACCTCGTGGGGTCGCGGTTTCAGACCGCCAAATAGTCGTGCCCAATCAGCCCTCCGGCGAACCACAAGTTCCCCATTAGCTCTTGGTCGAGGCCCGCTCTTGAAGCTTAAGAATACTTCGAGTTCGCGGTTCAGAACAACCTCATTGCAAACCTCGGTTCTTCCTGTTTTTCCATCTGACACAAGGCTACTTAAAAGGGCCGTCCTCTCCCTATCCTAATCATCTGCCTTCTGAGACTGCTATTATCAGGATCCGGATCTGTACCACGCCGATAGCACATCTGGTCCCGAAGATTGGATGTCTTATGTCACTTGACCGCGGGACCCTTGCCGAAATGCTCTGGTATTCAACATTGCAGAGGCAAACAGCTTGGATCGAATCTTCAGTTTATGGGCGGTAAAAGGCAATGTCAACATCAGAGTACGGCGGTCTTGAAGCTAACCTTACCGGTGAGGCACCAAACACTTCGGCCGCTGAATGAGTATTTGTAAGCCAGTGCGCTAGTTAACTAACTAGTTAACTATATGATTTTCGTGGGTAACGGCTTGATGCTACAGTAGTAAGGTCACTTAATTACTCGGTTACACCGCTAGGGGTTAGCTCAACCCCATTTTCAAGCACTGGTCAGCATAGCCAAGATTTTGCTTAGATATCTTGTCTGGATTCATGGTTATTGCATCCCACTGAAAAAGGACGTAGGCAAGGTAAAAAGGACAAAGTCAGGGTCAGCCCACAACAACGCTTCCTGCCTGTGCCCCACGCATGTTGGGGGCCCAGGAGTTGTGGACGCTTCTATGTAGAACCTCTCGCTGGCTGAACGACCTGGATAGGGGTCCGTAATTTTGGGATTAGTCCTTACGATGCTCTAGACAATTTAACCGCGCTTAGTAGAGCTCGCTTGTGATGTTGGAGTTACGAGATTACAAATGCTGCTTAAAGCCAAGGCCGACTGCTTAAAGCGCGGCGAGTCACCCAGCACTTAAAGATAGGCGCTAGGTGAGGTTGGCCATACTATTGGCTGATTTATATTGTTGCTGTTACTGTTGCTGTTGCTGTTGTTTTCTTAAACCTAAATCTATCCTAGTTTTAGACAATGCATCCTTTCATCACTTAGAACGGATTGCACAGGTGCGTATTTGTGTAGAGGTGAAGTTAGTTTATTTACTACCCTATTCACCCGACGTAAATCTGATCGAAGAGGGTTCTTATATGCTCAGAGCATTATTAAAAGTAGCCAGAGTTACTACAAGAAAGGGGTCGAGCAAGAATTCCGACACCTTCCTTACAAGGTGCATTGATGTAATCAGTACATTAGAAGGCATTCCTAGAGGCCAAACTCGACCCGCAGACCCGAATATCGACGAAGACCAAGGTTACTACGGTAGGCACAGCAGGTCCCTTGATCACTATCACGACATATATGCTAATACCGCACACACCTATCAACGATCTCCTGAGTATCCGTAATCTGCTTCCCCTCTGGTAGTTAGTGAGCAATTGCAGTAGTCATCACACTATTCCCTCTTCTCCCGTAGTATTTCGAAAACCATGTCCGACGCATTCTGTCCGCCCGATCCAATCGCGAAGATCCATGAAACAACTAGTAGCGCGTGCTTTCAGTACTCGCATAATTGTCCACTGTCTCAGTCGGAACATTTGGTTAGTCTCTCCGTGCGCTTTCCTCGATTTTCTTGAGATCTTTCTGCTGTTCTCTTAGGCCGTGTTTACTCAGTGGCTCTTTCCCGATCTCTTTGTCCATGATGTGTTTCAAATCCTTTAGCTCATCTTCCTAAGTCTGAAGTCCGAGATCAAATTGTCCATTTCTTTGTTAATGCACATCAAAAACCTCGTCTTCTTTGTTTCCTCGTTGGCAATAGTCGTTGCGATTAGTATAAGGAGGCAGAAGGGGATAATGGAACACTTCATTTCGTTTGGTGCTTTAGAGCAGACAAGGCGGGGAAGAGCAAAGGTAGAAGGATTTTGTTTACCAAAACCAAGTAACCGGAGGCAGAATAGCCGAGCATTAAATATCTACAGATGAGGGATGATGTTTAGGGGCTTCATATGTAGTACTTTGCATGGTATGTCGTCAGACATTGGATGATTTTCGACTGCAATCGAATAGGTAGTTCGAGTGGCTTGACAACTAAATGGGACAAGGAATGCCGATCTATGCATCCTATTGGTCTCATAGGTTTCACAACAGTGGCAGTATCATGGGACTTAGGACGGCAACTTAGCTTCGTAATTGCATTCCTCAATGATAGCTATATCTTCGGCACATTGACCGGGTTCTTTCGGCGGAGTGATCATCGAGGGTGCCCAGCATGATAGAGCCGATGCTTGGATGTCGATCGACTGGGACTAGGAGTGGCCTGGTACTACTATGTACCGGAAAACCACAGACTATATTCCTAGGGTATTAGTGCTAGGCTCACTCAAATTTCCCCACCTTGGTCATTTGTGAGATAGTGAGTCCGTCTTCTGTTGCTGCGTAACATATGGAAAATCATCTTACATTGTCGAAGATCAATATTTGTTGCTCATTTGTAAGTGGCTTGGGAGTTCGCAGGTGCTAGGGTAGGAGGAGAGTGTACGGACGCCGTTACGGTGGGGGTTGTATAGTTCTATAGCCGTTAAGTATATAATTACAATCGCCCAACAGTGTAGACATATTTCTTACCGAGGGAGGTAGGATTAAAAGCAGATATTTGATGACACCATCGTCCTTCGTTGACGTCATTCGAGAGCCCCGCGAATTACTAGGCCTAGAAAGAGCGCGTAACTCTGTAGGCCATAAGGGCTCCTGATAGGGTGGGTATTGGCACTGGGTGGTATAAATGAGAAACTACCTACGCAAACGAGAAAAAAAATTGATGACTATATAGTGAGTCCAACAATCAACGATCTTTTGCCCTATCCCCGGTACTCAAAATAGCACAGCTCACTTCCCCTCTTTGATATCATCTACTCTCGGCAATTTTCAAGCCACGAGCTTCTGGGGTAGATTATCGCCTTGTCCAGACTCTGTAAGACTCCAGGAACTGAGAAAAACACCCTGCAGGAACCCAATCTCGAGTCGCTGATTTGTCAGGCCAACACTGTCTTAACCGCCAGTCGACTGGTGTCGCAATCCACGGCGCTTCGCGTCAACCAATCACCATTGCCGCCCACCCAGACCTCACGAACACAGCCCTGCAGGGGCGCGAATAGGAAACCGCAGTCCAAACCTCCGGTGACAGATCGTCTGTCCCTGAGTCCAAATATAGCTCTCCGTCTTATCTTATTCCCTTGTGCAGAGCGTGGTCCTCGCCCTCTCACCCCGCCAAGCCTGCATGCTGGCGCCCATCCTCATGCTAGGACCCCCCATAAGCAAAACAATCCTGCAACTCACAGTCCTGAAAATCTGACTTATGGCAATGGATCAAATCAGAGATGGCATGGTACTCGAAAATCCGTGTGCCACAGCGGGATTACCTGTCTCAGGGGATACTCTATTTAATGTATTCGGTTTAGTTAAGCGCCTACCGAAGGGGCCTTTTGTGATAGCAATATACTAGACTGGAAGTGTCCGTGATGAAAAAAATATGATCAGCTTGAACCCTGCAGTAAGTAAGTACATATTCAAAGCCATCCTCCACGGGCGCTTGGGTGGCTTTTGAGGGTTTTCATATACTCGTTACCTCTCGAGCCCTTCTCTTCTTTTACAGGACTTCCCTGACTTTATATTTCTCTCCTCGGTGAGGATCACTTGTTCCGCTCGCTATACCTATATTTACTCCTAAGGGTTGTCCTATTAAGAAGCCTTGCTGGCAAGGTTACGAGCTCTTTCATTTTGTTATATACTCCCGTGAGACTATCGACATTCTTTTCAGTTGTTACCATAGTACTATTTCATCTACCACCCTCAAGATGAGCTCCAACGCATCTACGGCTGGCTCTATGGACGAGTCAAAATTTCTCAAGCGCAACCGTGCTCTTCACGGGACTCGGCTGGGTCTGTCTCTTATGATCACTTCCGTGGCTGTTTCTGTCATCGCCTGTGAAGCACAACTACTGCAACACTACAACGCCACCGCACAATGGGCAACGTCAGGTCTTGCCCTCTGGCCACTCAATCTTGATTTGCGACCGGCAATCGCAGCTCTGGCTTGTGGGTGTGTAATTACCGTCTTGAATCTGGTATACGTGGTTGTTGCTCTTCTCCCATCTGTCAGTATATCAACCCCCATACTTCCATGGCAATTGTTAACACCCGCCCAGCCTCACTCCCGTATCAAACTCCTCAACTCCTATGCTTCTGCATCAGCCTTCTCTGGATTTATCACATCCCTCGTTGGTATTATTTTTGTGATCTATCGGCCGTCGGCATCTTACCCGAGCGGCTTCAGCCAGGGAGAGACCCTGCACAGCTGGACATGCAAATGGAAGTCCTCAAATGGGAGCACATCAACCCCGATCCACTTTACTCGTGACTGCCACGAGACTCGTGCTGGGTTTGCGCTGCTGTGTGTTCTCCTCGGACTTGAAATTCTGATGGGGCTTGCTGCTGCTGCTGGCACATTGTCCCAGCGGGATGTCTCGCGTCGTCGCGATCAACAAGTCCAGTTGGAGAAATTGGAGATTTCGGCAAAGCAGGCGTATCGACCTTGAGAGGAAAGCATGATTTTTTGCTCGAGGCTGCCAGTTGACTTGGTAATGTGAATGAGTTGTTTGGAGGTGGACTGCTAGGGGAGTTTGTAAATGATTAGTGACGTTGGGTGGGATCAAATGACGATATCGTGTATAGCAGGCTGTTTATTGAGAGTGTTCATGCAAGTCATAAGGGAAATCTTGAAATGGAAATGTGGCCAGGGTCGCTTTGTTGGATTGCCCCCGTCCCTCTGTCACGAGATGGGTAAACCTACACATGTAGTAACGAATTGACCTATCTCTATGAGTGATGTAAAGGGTAGACAACCCTTCACCATGTGAATTTGGGGAGTACCTCAATTTGGCAATTCCAGAGTTGACAGTGATGGGACGTGGGTGAGTTTTGGAAAGGATTATGAACACGTACTGCGTACTCGATATAGTTCTCAGAGCTGGGGTGCTTGTAACTGGAATACCCTAGTTGATGACAGATTGATGTTGATTTGGCTGATGATATCGTTGTGTGGAGGGTTTGGAGACAGGGGCTTTAAATCTTATCAGGGGATAGTTGAGCAATATAATTCACGAGGAGACTAGATAGAGATCTCGCGAAGTCGGAATGCAAAGGCTGATTAATTCTTGAAGAGACATGTCAAGACGTCTACCTATGAGGCTTTTCCGGGAGAAAGAGAAATATACCATGCGATGTTGTCAAGCAAACATTGTGGAAGAACTATTACCCAGCAAATAGAAGGGTTGCTGGTGAGTATACAGCAGGACAAGCTGGTCGAAACACTGCTTCCATCAGGGCAAAACAGTTGGTATTTATTGACAGAAAGGAACGCAAAGCCAACTGAATCGATGCAAAGCATGCAAACAACCAGATCGGGCAGAACGAGAGCATTACATAATCCTTATCAGTACCGCCTTCGGCAGAATTATGAAGGCGCGTTTCTCGCCTCGCCTTTCGTCCTCAAGCAAGCAGCTCTCCATTGCAAAATGTCCGCCGATCCGAATGCCCCCACAGCTCTCAACCTCGACGATGAGCCATATGAGTCGGCTGAGGATGAGGATTTCCAGCTCGATCCGGCACAAGATGAGTCCGAGCTATCCTCATCCGACGAGGAAACCGCCGAACCCGCCAAAAAGAAGCGCAAGACCGATAAGAAAGATGAGCTCGTTGCAGACGAGCTAGATTCTGGCGATGAAGCAACAATACAGAAGGCGCGAGAGAGACGGAATAAATTGAAGAAGAAAAAGGGAAAGGGCAAGGGCAAGAATGTGGAGGACGACGAGGATATTGATCTAGACGAGGATGAGGAAGGGGGAACTGGAGGGTTTGTGCGGACACGTGCAATGAAGAAGCATATGTAAGATTTCTATTCTTTCCCTTTACAGCTCTATAATCCCACTCTGGGTTCTGACAACTGGAATAGACAGGAAGAGGAGCGTAAACCGCTGGCTCGAATCGACGGCGCGACGGTCGATGTCGATGCCCTGTGGGTGCAGATGAACGCCCCCGAGAGTCAACTGGGCCTGCAAGCATCCCAGATCGAGCACAAGCATGAACCGACGCCAGACGAACCCGACGGTGTCGCCGATACGAGCGCGCCAAATCAGGGCGCCCCAGAACCGGAGGACAAGACGCGCCATGGCCAGCACAGAGAACAAATGGTGAAGATCAAGCGCACATACAAGTTTGCCGGCGAGATGATCACTGAGGAGAAAGTGGTGCCTAAGGACTCTGCCGAGGCAAAGGCGTTCCTGTCTAGCGGCGATAATGTGGAATACGCCGAGGTCGAAGATGCGGATGGGTTGAAAAGCACTCGCAACTTGCGCCGTCCGCTCCGCAAGATCTCTCGATTTGACCCGAACCCGACTGGTTTGATCAAGAAGAGCTGGGAGAAACAAGCTATCACAGATGCAGGCGCAACTGGGCCCAAGATCAACACTGTTGAGAAATCCAGACTCGACTGGGCGCAGTATGTGGATCAAGCTGGGATCAAGGATGAACTGCGGACACACAGCAAGGCCAAGGAAGGGTATATGGGCCGTATGGACTTTTTGGGACGCATGGAATCCAAGAGAGACGATGAAGCCCGACAGGCCCGTCTCAGAGGCATGTGAGGCTGGTATCTGTCTATGGTCTGTACCGCTCTCTTTTATCTACCGCATCTACCTATGCGGGAAAAAAGCTTCCCACCACGCACACATATACCCTGCCGCAGTGTCATCATAGGATCAAAAGATCCTTGCTGCGAAGCGCATGCCGCCCAAGGTCGCATCTCGGCATCCTCGTGTCCAGATTCACGAGCTTAGTCGCAGTCTAGGGGTGGAACCTTGGGTGTCGACCAACCCCTTCAAACAACCAGCTGGTCGATCCCGATCCAAATGAGAAACCACCGAGTGCGCATCTCCACTGATGGACAAGCCAGGGGACTCGCGGGATTGTCCGTGGCTGCTGCTCGATCTGCAGGGCTGGGGACCTATTGCTGATCGCCGGCGGTAATGCGGGCTGTTGTCATATTCAGTTTCGGAGGTGGACCTTCCGGGAAAACTGGGAAGCTTGGTTATTCATTCTTCTCTATCTGTGGAGGATCTGTACATCTAATTAATGACCTCTCAATTGAGGGTCGGTCTTTGCTTAGTGTGTTCAGTCCGTAAGGCTCGTTCATTGTGTTGTGCTATATTCACTAGTCTCCAAGATACCAGAACCAGGTACCCTCACATCATCGCATCATAGAAAGTGTAGAGTTTCATAAAGATCACTCATATCCATGCAAGACACAAACTAGACCCGCGCATCATCCCATTTAAGCACTTCACTTGGGCGCGTACTGGATGCCAGTGTTAGGGCAGTTCGACTTGGTAACTGTGCAAAGAAAGTTAGCTTTCAGACTGTCCCCCAGATTGCGAATGTTTCAACGGTGGGCCACTTACGAGTATCGACAGCCTGGTACTGGCCATCAATAGCATTGCCAGCCACATTGTAGAAGTACCAAACCTGATTCAGCGAGCCGCTCGAGCAGCCAATGTAGACCGAAGCACCGCCGTGCAGGTTGCTCAGGGCAGCCTGGATATCACTCAGGCTGTAGGTCTTGGAGCTATCAGGAGTGATGCCGGCGGCGGCGAGGGCCTGGAATAGTATGAGACATGCCGTATTCGTTTCAGAACTGGGGTGATAGTTACATACCTTATACGTATCGAGACCCTTGAACAGATCCACCACCTTCTGGAAGAAATCGCCGACTTCTTCCTGAGGGGGTGTAGTTGGTGTAGCAGCTGGGCGTGATGGTGTTGATGCAAGTACCGTGCTTGCCCCATTCGTGGGCCCAGAAGGTCTCGTCGTCGCCGTTGATGTCCACCCAGTACTGTTGCATGTAGGTCAGAAGATCATTGCGACCCTGTGCCGTCAGGATGTCGGAGATGTTGGTGTAGGCACGAGTAGAGTCACAGCTGGACTGATAGGTTCCATCACAGTTGTCGGGCCTGTATTTCAGTCAATTATTCGTTCTATTTGTTTCTTTGGAGAGATATAGATAGTGGTTATGAATGGGGTAGATCTACGAATGATACATACCAGAGACCGTGGATGGTCCAGGAGTCAGTTGGGCCCGTGGATGGGTTAGTATCCCAGAACTGAGTCTGAAGGAGAGCACCGCCGGGGTAGTTGTAGCAGCAGGTCGGGGCCTGGGATGAGCTCTGGCAACTGAGGGTGCTGTTGTTGGTGCAAACCTTCAGCTGGGCCGAGGCACCAGTAACCAACGCAGTAGCCGCCAGGGCCAGCATAGAAGAGCGAGAGAAAGTCATAGTTGCATAAAGATAGAAGTGGTATTCTATAGAGAGGATTTCCAAGGGATAGAAAACTGACAGACTGGACGATCTCCCAGGGGTATTGTGCCAAACATAAATAGGGCACGCACAACCACACGCACACTGGCCAGTCACTAACACTCACTCACTATCAACGAGATCCTCCAGAAGGAATGGAGCGTCCTGCAGAAACAAAAACGGGCGCATCACCAGGAGAAACGTCGATCACAACTGATAGCAGCACATGCGCCGATAAGGCGGCGCTGATTCGCACCAGATAGATCGGAATTCGCCGTATAACTTGGCTAGTTAGACGAATCGTCGTTCCTGATCGCGTTAGCGACCTGCTTGGCAGACTTAGTGACCGAATCGGTCCCTTTCGCCTGACAAAAGGAGGTCGATCCCGACCGGAGCGGGGAATGGGATCCAAATGAAACCACCAATAAAGACGTCGAATCAGTCGTAAACTCGGCGATGCGTGCGTGAGGTCTCCGTCGGAGGTCCTGAGGATTCAATCTGGACGAATTGCAGCTAGTGTTTTGGGATTGTCCGGGGAGGGGATAGGGCCAAATTGACGTTGCATTGTCTCTGGTGGATCTCCGACTAGAAAGCGCCCCCGCGAGATTAAAGAGGCCGCTGATCGACCGCGTCCCGGCGAACCAACGTCGACAGAAGCCATCTGGAAGACTGGCATCGTTCTTTCACGTTTCGCCTCTTAGGGAATGGTCGAGGGGCAATTCTGTGTCACCTGAGAGCGGCACTGGAGAGGGCTTGGGGTCTTATTTCTTGCATTTACAGAACTGATCCCCCCGCTCTAATTGGAGGCAATACGAAGTGAAAAACAGAAAGATTCCAGGTATCGGGTGCCTCGTATTTGGGCGCAAAGCGATGCGCTATTCTGATAATAATGGCTCTGCTTCTTCGTTTTCGTCTTGCGCTGCTCGAGGGACTCGAATGCACCATATGGCGACCGTAGCAATCACATAAAGCAGACCGGCTTGCAAGAAGGGAAGTCCCAGCCAAGCACCGCCGAGGTGTAAGCCAATCCGGAAGAGGTAGGCAAATAATGGACCTGCGACTAGGATCCCGAGGGACTGGGAGATCGCAATAGCCGAGTAAAGAGTGCCGACGTGATCTGGAGGCACTAAACTGGTCGCCAGACTGCGCGCAGTGATGAGGAACGCAGAACCCAGGGAGAGAATCACCAATCCGCAGATTAGCAAGGTTGGAACAGGTGCAAGTCCCATGGCAAGGAAGCCAATGATTGAGATCAGTCCGCTCCCCTGGCTCAGACGGTGATCGCGATGTTTGCCATGCAGGTTGAGATACTTGGCAGCAGCATAGGACAATGCTGGCATGATGACGAGGTAATTGGTGAGATTGAGTACGCCACGTAGTGAAATTAACAGGCTGGTCTGTAGAAAGTTTAGCGAATCGCAATGCTAGATACATGCGGCAACTACATACCCTCGCAATGCTCCAATTGAATTTCTTCGACGCATACTGAAGGAGCACCCCGGAGGACTGTCGACTGATAACCGAGACCAACAGGCAAAGAATCATCACACAGACACTATAATTCCGCCAGATGAACTGGGTGGAGTCCTTGAATTCGCGGGCCTGGTGGATGAATTCTTGCAGCACTGGTCGTTTGCCAGCTGGCTCAATCGGTTCATTGGAGGAGGAGGAGGAGGAGGAGGAGGATTCCGCGGCATCTGAATTTGCTTCGCGACGGTATCTTGCCTTGTTTGCTTTGGCTTCTTCCAGAGTCTCTGGGAGAAATAAGATGGGGGCACTCCCTAAAATGAGAATGAGTGTGCCCAGGATATAAGGAAGCCAGTCGTTGTATTGCATCAGCCAGGCGCTGATGGGGGTGCCCAGGATTTCGGCGAGGATGACACAGGATTGAAGAAGAAAAAGCGCCGTGGTACTATCTTCCAATTAGTGCGATGTCAATTTTATATTTGCGAGCTGGTGGACCGTACCGTTCTTCTTCAGAAAAGACGTCTGCGACCATGACCAATGCAATCGCGACGACGACCTGATCTCCACCCCCAATAACCCTGAACAGTCCGGTCAACCAGACTAGCCGAAGGGGTAGCACATTCGGCCAAAATGCTGGAGCAGTCATTCCGGGTTAGCATCTGATATAGAGAACATGAACCATGACATCTTAAGATCCCCAACTTACCCACTAGACGGACCCATAATTCCCCCAGCAGCATCCCCACAATACCCAAGTAGATGACGGGTTTGCGCCCCCAATGATCCGACAACACTCCGTATGGCAAGGACAATAGAATACTCGGAAGTGCTTCAAACATATCCTTATACCCGAGTACCAGCGCCAGTTCGGCCTGGACGGCCTCTGATTTGCATGGATCGCTGCCGTTAACCGGTTGATTACCCGTCGACAGAAGCCCATAATTGCGACAGATGATCCGCTCAAAGATCGCAGTCTGCGGGGCGAGGCTCATATCATTACCGAGATCTACGCCCAACGCGAAGATAGCGGTCATGATCAAAATCATGAGTCTCTTTGACTTTAAGCGACGGGGGATCGACGCCTCCGACGCGTCGGCGAGCAGGGGCTGCGTTTCCTCGGCGGCGACCATTTTAACCGTGTGAAAGGGATGCCGAGAGCTTCACTTCGTTGACAGCAGGCATGCACCTGGGTAAGAGATTTTAAGATCTCAGAAAGGTGGTTGAATTCTTCGGGCTGTTATTTAGCTGCCTTGGCTCGGAGTTCGGCAGAAGTGCCAGCTTCTCGGCGTTAGGCTGAGGTTGCAACGCCAACAAAGCCGTTGGCCAAGACCACTGATTTGCTCGACACTTGCTGACGGGACATTTCAGATTTCCCCACGCCGATAATATGGATTAGCGCCAAAAGTGCCATGGGCATTGGGTAAGCAATCAGGACGAAACCTGGTTTGGTTTAGTCGCGGCGTTGGGCGGCTCAAGAACAATGTCCTGCCTCCATTCTGATTGTTCATCAATGCTGATTCAAGGCTTGAACTCCGAATGTATCCCGATGGGTGCACCGGACAAGGCTCCGGTAAAACTTGATGCAGTGATTGGAGCTGATATGTCGCCATTCTCCAATCGCATCCTAGCTCTCTTCTGGAGTTCTGGTGTTTTGACGTGTTCCCTATCAGGCATTTTGGGGCTCTTTCTACAGGACTTGCGACCGTCACGAAAATGCGGGCGCTCTCTTTAACGCTGCCTCTTCAACATCCAGATGCCTGGGTTTTCCAGATTCGATTTGAATGTGTATCAACGTCTTCTCCAAGAAACGTAAACAAATGATGGAGAAAGTCGGTGGCGGAGACGGTCAGGCAACCAACCAGTTCCTCAAATCAGACTCATCTTCTCAGCCTTTCTCTCCACATGAGCTGCACCAGAGTCTCCACATCCAGATCTATTGTATCTGTACTTTGTCAAGTACATAGATCAAGAATCCCCTGGACGCGATAAGAGAGACATGACAGTGATCAAGAGCGGCGTGGCCGTGGCCGTGGTCCTGACGGTCGCACGACTCTGCTGCGACCATAGCTGCCCTTGTCCATGGTCGAAATTCAGCTGACCTTCATCCAAGGACACCAGGACTGTTGACACTACCGGGCACATCTGTACACGAGGCCAAAGAAGCAAAACATCAAGATTGCTCCCCCGATCCGTTGCCTAGGAACCTGCAATTGCCCGTTGCTTGTCCATGCCTGTCACACCACGGCAATCCGCATGAAGAAGCGTTTTCAGCGCGCGATCTGCATTGAAGATTGCAAACTGGACCAGCTGGCTTGCAAATCATCCAGTCGGCTCGCCAATGCGGCCCGGATGAACCCATCTCGGAGGATTCTTGTCACTTCCTTTGCTTTTCTGCGCGGGTTATCACCCGAGTCGCAGGCCACGCCGTACCACGGTGCATTCGGGACTGGTAACCTCTTTCGGAGATGAATTGATTGTCTGTTTGGCTGGCTAGCGTTGCTCGGGCGGTTCTGTCCGTTATTGCTCCGACGGTCGGGTAGTTGCTTCTTTCGCCGATGCACAGGTTCAGATCGATTATCTGGCGGTCTATGATTCTCGATAGGATTGGACTCGGAGGGTGAGATTCAGGGTTTGCGTGTGTTGATTCCTCGGCGTGGACGGTCGGCGAGTTCGTTGGGATCGATCAGGCGGAGTCGATAGTACACACTCTGGGTCGATGCATTTCACGTTGCTAGGGAGTCCGATTGTCAGCTATTAAGTGGACCACGTCTGACAGATGGATAGGATCAGTATACTTCAATCGATTGGAAACGTGATCGTACGGTCGTCTTCTGTCGCTTTCTCGATATCACGACATATTCCGGATGGTAGATGCCCCGATGGAGACCCAGGTCTCGATCCATCGCCACAGTTCCAATTGGAGAGGCAAGTTGACGCTCTTGGAAGATTCAGTCGATATAGAAAAAAAAATTTAGTTATCCGTGGAAGTCTTCAAGTACTCTGTTTTGCTATTCACAATGTTCACCAAGGGTGGTGTCATTTTCCTGCAGGTGCAGGATATATATTCTAGAGGATCAGATGGACCTTCTGGATGATAGCCCAGCCAGAAACATATCCATATATCATAACCCAGCGCCCAATTTTTTAAAGGATTAGGTCGTTTCATAGCTGAGACACTATATATTCATCCATTTGACCGGAATAAGATATATCTTAGATTTTGAAAGTGTGTTCTCATCGGTAGAAAGAATATGGACATGCCTACTGTCGACACTCCCAGGCTCTGGGGAGTATACCTTCCCCTAACAACCTGCACATATGCATCGATGGAATTATAAGACCTATCAAACTAAAATCCACGAGAAATCCCCCTAATCACTGCGACAGCAAAGCAATAGTCTCTGCGATACTATCGATCTTCACCATATAGCTACCTCGCAGCAAGTAGACTTCAATACTACTACCATGGCCAACCAAATCGAAATGCACCATTTACCCAGCATCAAGTGAACAGGCCAAACTTACCATTCAATATAGTGCCCTTGGAGTAATTGCGCACAGAGACCTGCCAAGACTGACACTCTGGCCCAAAGATCCATGAACTGAAAGCACTGAATCCCGTTGAAGGATGCCTTCAGCCCTTCAGTACTGTGTATGGACCTGAAACTTTCCCCACTCCCTCTCTCTACGACTCTACTCCACTCCATCTCACAACCGTGGACAATATATTGAACACGACCCATATCCTCGCAGCCCAAACGCCTGGCAAGAGCGTTATATTGTTCCCCCTATAATGAAACCGCACCAAGTAGCGCGATGCGTGTCGACCAAACAGGCACGCGCGATTATCTCGCCTGAGGCAAGGGCATACCTCAATGATGTCAGTAGGATTCTCCTTGAGTAGCGGACAGCAGTGAACGGACCAACCCGAGGTCTAGCCTCGTCGCCTCCCCGCCGCTAGCCCAAGACATATTGGTGCGTGCTCTAAGTGGGGTGAAGAGGAAGGTGTTTGGACCACCGATCTGCTGTACTTGGGCCCTTTAGAATGTTAAGCATGCTGGATGTGATGTGCAGGGTTGATCAATGTGGTCGATCAATGCGGTCGATCAGGTCGCCAGTCGGCGAGACCGGGTGAGTTTATTCAGTGTGCTCTGCGGCGGTGCTATTGAGGCGTGTTGCATATCAAACCTGGTTACCCTGCACTATTGAGTCGACTGGCATGCGCATTGAACTACAAAGTACAGTAGTACTGGCCAGCGCTATGACAATAGTTTCTCGGCTATTGCGTATTGCTTCGTGCTTGGATGTTGAATATTTGGTGAGTTCTTTGGCTTTCATAGATCCCCTTGTAGATATAAGATACATCAGGGTTAATCCTGATCTAGAAGTGTCAACCGCGTTCTTCCCCCTTCATCGCGACCCTGATTGAACTTGGGGTAACACGAGGGACGAATTCAGGGACCATGAACTCCTAGCAACACTCAATCATAGTTTGCACGAACGCGATCCTCGATCTCCTGCCCCAGGAGCGCGCTCAAGGAGAAGCCGAAGGGCAGTGCCGAGAACATAAACTTTTGCCACTGGGTGTCGTATCCAGGAAACCGGGACTGGACAACGCAAGGTGATGCGGGTGTACTGCAATGCGCGTCAAGATGAATGGACGGTGCGAAAAGTGCCAAGTACAAAGCGAAAAAGCAAATAATTACCTTTTATCAATTTACAATCGAATGCCCTGTCTATTTATGATATGATGAGGCTCGTTGGCAGGAAAAGGAAATAGCTCTGCAAGGGGGTGGGGATGTTGAAAGAAGGGGGTAAAGTCTAAGCTGTTTTGGTTCAGGAACCGCCAAGGTACCTCACCTAGTTTGTACAAGCCATTGAGCTTTTTCAGGTTTTTTGCATAATCCAACAGGCAATAACATTGTACTATTGATGTGCTTTGCCAGAATTCTCTGTATTTGCCGGGCTTTGCGATGCTCTCAGAGGATGGCTACCAAGAACTGATCCGAAACGGTTCTGCTATTGAGGCATTTCCGATATGATTTTAGATAGAATAGCCTAACAAAGGCATTGATGGCCGAGTTGAGAATCCTTCTTCTTTCTGCCAACCTTTGTTCATCAGCCATGACCAACCAACCTCAAAAGATCCGTCAACCTTGATTATCTCCGTAGAGCTAATGCATCCTCCCCTCGCCACCAATCCACTTTACTAATCTCCTCTCAAATCTCGGGTTTGCACTGACAACGACGAGAAAGGGACGTGCATAGCCCATAGGGCAAACTCAAACTCGGACCTACACCTAATACTCACTGATATGAGCATTGTCGATGCTGTTATCGCTTCGGCGAAAGATCTCATGCTCTGGAATTCAAGGTGACCTCGGCAGCCCGGCTCCCAGGGCATTGGGCGAAGCGCACCTGCATCACGCCTCACCCAAAACCGCAGTGCTTCTCGGATCATGCTGAGTGGTGTTCCGGGGAATGCTGGGCCACAGTCTCGAGTATAATGCTGTAGTACTGTAGGCATAGCGAACGGTATGCTAAGAGGTGCTCTATGGCCACAATTGCATAGGCCTGACCACTCTGGGCCTTCCCCGCAAAATGATCTACCGCTTGGCTTGCCGTACTTTGGTGTCATGGCGTTGGGAGGCTTGCATGTCATGTGGATCCGATAGTGGAATTTGTATTATTGATTTGCATTTGGGAGTTTATTTCCTGGGGTAGACACGGAACTGTTCGGCGTGGTGGATGTAGAATATAGGATGGACAGGGGTCTGAGAAAGATCTAAAATCGATAGTGTTCTTCTTGGGCTCTGTGTACCTGGGTCAAAATTGCAGCAATCGTGCTAATGCATGTACAGCCCTTTGTGAATCGATAAAGGTTTTCGTGTTGGGGGATGTCCGAGGTACCCCTGGCGCTATTCTGAGTTGAGAATCTGATGGTCGAATTGTAGATGGTGGTAGGGTCACCGTACCTGAGTATTGAATATGAGATATGAGATGTCATGGTGACTATCAAAGAGATATCATTAATCGTCAGCTACACACTGATTTAGGACGTTCTCTGCTCAATGCTGGCTGATTGTCATACTGAGCCTCTAGAAAAGGATTGTCATAGAATGGGTTCATCACACGAGTACTGTAGTTTGAATGCGAA